ATGCACCAGAGATCCCTTGGATACATGACACACCCCTGTGGTGCGCTGCAGGCTGACTCAGCTACCTGTGGTCTTTGGACACTGACCACACCTTTTGAGGTCTCCTGGATACGTGACATACCTACCCTGCGGTGCGCTGCAGACTGACCCACTTGTTGAGGCCCTTGGTCGCTGATTATGCCGCCCTCAGAGATACCCTGATAGTGGCCAAGCCCACTTCTTTGGATAATGGATGTCCCGTCTTCCAGACTTTGTCTAGAAGAGCCATGCTCTCTCCCAACCCCCAGGATCCCAGTAGACCAGCAGGACCCCACAGTTTCCTAAAGACGAGCCACCCTTCTGTGGCCTCCTGGAAAACAGTACCCCTCACTCACCTGGAGGCTGGACCCCCAGGATTAACTGGAGACTGGCCACACAAAGCCTCTGCACTTCCCAGGAGCTGGAAAACTGGTCTTGGCCAGTCAGCTGTCCACTGACTTCTCCCCATCACTTGGTGAAGAAACAGAAAACTATGGGTCACAAGGTGACCATGCCCTGTGCTGGCAGGTAACCCAGAGGCTGGGTATTCCCACTCTTCCAGAGAGTCTCTTTAAGTTTCCAAGGTAATATGCCTTGTCCCCCGTCACTGTGGAGGATAGCCCCAACACCTCTGGCTTCATGGGAGAATGTCCCCAGCTGGGTCCCAGGAACAGTGGCCATGCCTACCCTCAGGTATCTCTCTGGCCATAGAGTAGACTCACCTGAATGTCCCTTCCCAGGCTCCTTGGGGCTGTCACCAAAGAGATCATTCCCTCAAACCTGAAGCCCCTAAAAAAATCTCACTTGCTGTAGAAACATGCTGCTCGGCTTCTTAAGGTGACAAAGGTCACTTGTGCACCCACCCAATAGGTCTCACCTATTACACCCACCGAAATGGTACATCCTGCCTTCCTCTGTAACCATGGGTACCACCACACTTTTCCTTTATCACTGGCCTAGAGCCCAGACACCCACCACTCCTTTTCTGGCTGTCCCCATCCTGATGGACCACTATGGAGACCGTCTTCCCCACTGAGTGTCCTCAGGGTGACCTAGCATTCATTTCTCCAGGCCTCTCCATGGAAACAAGCTGCCCCTTTCCCAAGGTGCATCTCCAGCTCTTCTCAGCGGTCCAAGCCCCACCCCCAGACAGCTTGTACCTCACAGTTGTTGCCATGGAGACCAAACTCTGGTGTCCAAGGTAACAGAACACCTGTCCTTCCAAGGCTTTCCCTCCAGGGTCCTGTCCTGCCCAGCTATCGCCATAGAGACCATCAGTGTCTCCATGGCAACTGACCTGCAGCTCTCAGGAACTTCTTGCCATGGGCAGAGTACCTCTGACTGGAGCTGCCTGCTGTGTTCCTCAGGGGCCTGACAAATGTCCCTTCTTCAGACGGGCCCAGACATGGCTCTGCTTCCGGAGCAGCTGTCTGCCACGGCTCATTTGCACGCTAACTATGCCAGGCAGCAGCTGAGCACCAGCCACCACCGTAAACCCCTCCAGCGTTTTAAATGATCGCCTTGCAGGTGAGGAGACAGGCTGTGGCACCGCACACAGCCAGAGCTTTCCTTCCTTGGAGATAAAGAAGGGCGGAATGTGCCTGAAACCACCAAACAGTTTTGGAGGGCCCATGTGTGCTCCAGGGCCAGGACCGGCATTCACAGACTGTGCAGACAGAGCATCCCAGATGCAGGAGCTCCCAGCTCCGAGGTGCCGCTTGGAGCAGCAAGTACCCTTGCTGGTGCCCTCTTCCTGCCCCATCTGTATCTGCAAAACCCATCTCTGAGTCTGGAAGCTGGTGGCCGTGGGCTTTTGTTGTAAAATGTTTGACCAAGTGACAGAACTTGTCCAGGCTGTTTTCTTTGGACCAGGGTTGCTCTGAGGTCCCACAGTGCAGCCTGCAGCCTTGCCGTCAATAAACCTTCGTTCCTTTTGGTGAGTGAGAAACATGACTGCCGTGCTCCTCTGTCATAAGTGCCGTGGACTCCTTAGGCCGGGCTGGGCAGCAGCTCCCCTCATTCAGTGCCCACCTCCCAACATGAAAAGGCAGAACAGTTTACCAGGGGTCAAGACTAGGACCCTATGAGATACCCTGACCTCCTCAAGTGCATTGTGAGAGGTGTGCATAATAATAATTCTGTAATTTAAAAAATGTGTTCCGTCAGGATTTGGTTGTAGAATTGAGGTAGCCATCTATACTTTCCATTTATTTTTAAGTGTTTGTGTGTTTTGTCTCTACTGTTTATGTGCCTGGAGGCCTGAAGAGTGAGTTTGATCCCTACAACTAGATTTATGGATTGTGGTTTGAGCCTCGGTCCTCGGCCAGAGCAGCCAGTGCTTTCAATCACCAAGCCATCTCTCCAGCCCCCTAATTTTTATTTGTAGACTTTAGTTATTTGCTTATTTTTAGTGTGTGGAGTGTGTAACAAGTGGTCAGAGGATGGGCCTGAGTCTCAGTGGTTGACATGCAGTCCTGGACCAATCAGGGTGACTCTGGGAAATGAGCCAGACCATTCTTGGCTGAGCTGGAAGGGGTGACTCTTTCTCTTCACTCTCACCCAGTGATCTAGACGTTATCCCACCCTGACACATGCTGTCCCAGCACCCTAATCATGCCACCCCCCTAAGCTGGACGTCCACCATTTGTTCCAGCACTCTGGAGGTAGAGGCAGGTAGATCTCTTGAGTTCAACGTCAACTTGGTCTGCAGCAGTGGTTCTCAACCTGTGGGTCTCGGTCCCTTTGGGGATCACATATATTTACATTATGTTTCATAACAGTAGCAAAATTACAGTTATGAAGTAGCAACAAAATAATTTTATAGTTGGGGGGTCACCACAGCGTGAGGAACATGTCAAAGCATTAGGAAGGTTGAGAACCTGGTCTACAGAGTGCCTTTCAGGCTAGTTAAGGCTAGTGAGACACTGTTTAAAAAATAACCCCAAATACAAACTTGAGCTCTCCCTCCCAACTAAGGTCCATGGAGCACATGCCTCCGTCCTATGTGCACGTCTGTCCCTGCTGCAGACGAGGGTTTACAGAGCTGGCAGCAGGCACTGGGGTCTTGATGCATGGCCACCCCAGAGCCTGGAAAGATGGCTCCGTGGATAGAGACACTTGTCGCTGATCTTGACAAGCTGAGTTCAGTCCCTGGGACCCACAGGGTAAAGGGAGAACTGACTGGCACAAGCTGTCTTTGGTGTCTTAGGTCTCCACTTCTGCTTCTTGGACTCCTATGGGAACTTCTTTGTTGTCTGTTTTTTCTTTTCTTTCTTTCTCTTCTTTTTCGAGGCAGAGTTTTTCTGTATAGCCCTGGCTCTCCTGGAACTTGTCTGTAGCCCAGGCTGGCCTCGAACTCACAGAGGTCTGCCTGCCTCTGCCTCCTGAGTGCTGGGATTAAAGGCGTGCGCCACCACCGCCTGGCTGGTTTTTGTTGAGTTTCTCCCTGTAGCCTTGGCTGGGCTCATAATTCTTATCTCACTACTTAGCAGGAAGATTGCTGTGAACTCCAGGCCAGTCTGGGCTACAGAGTAAGACAACCTCTGGCAGGCTGTCCACACCTGCTCTCCTCTAGCTCATGTAGCAGCATGTGTTTTCTTTCCTGCTTTTGTTTGTCTTTGACAGGGTCATGTGTAGCCCAGGCTGCTCTTCCTGCCTGAGCCGAGAGTGCTGGGGTAAGGCGTGTGCACACTCCTGCTCTGTTGAGATGTGTGTGTGGATCACTTCTCTTCTCTCTGTGACCAGATGCCTGCCATAGCAAATGAAGGGAAGAAGCGTTTATTAGACTCTCAGCTCAAGGATACAGTCTGTCTCAGTGGGAATGTCTCGATGGCAGGGGCATGAGGCATTGGATCGCGTTGTGCTCACAGTGAGGACGTGGGGTGCTGAAGGCTGCTGCTCCTGTTTTCTCCTTTGGTTATGTTTTGTTTGTGACATTTATTTTGCAGGGGGAGGAGAGGACTCACTTCATGGTCCCCTTGTGGTTCTCTACTTCTACCACGTGGTCCAGGGACTGAACTAAAACCGCAGGGCTTAGCCGCAGGTACCTTCAGCAGCACTCTTGCCGTTGTCCAGCCCCTTCATGTTTTCAGATAAATCACGGCTTTATAGGATGACTTTAGTCTTTTCAAAACTGTGGCCATCTCCCCCGACCCCAAGTCCAGCTCATGCTGTGCCTCCATTCCACCCTCCTGCCTGGCATGCAGCTCTACTCCTGGCAGACTGGTGCAGGAAGATCTTGAGTTCAAAGTCAGCCTGAGACACATAGTGAGACTCTGTTAAAAACTAACTAGCTGGGCAGTGGTGGCACACGCACTTGGGAGGCAGAGCCAGGCGGATCTCTGTGAGTTCGAGGCCAGCCTGGGCTACAGAGTGAGTTCCAGGACAGCCTGGGATACAGAGCGAGATCCAGGAAAGGCGCAAAGCTGCACAGAGAAACCATGTCTCGAAAAACCAAAAAAACAAAAACAAAAACAAAAAAACACTAACTAACTAAATGAAGGGGGGGGGGGGGAGAAAAGGAGGAGGGGTAGAAGAAGAGGAGGGAAGAGAAGAGGAGGGGATTCCTATTTCCTCTACCGTTCCCTGCTTTCCCCTCTGCACACAGCAAAGTATATGGCTTGTGTAACGCTTAGATTGTGGCTGTGGCTCATCTGGCGGAGGGCTTGTAGCCCAGTTGGTAGAGTGCTCTAACATTCACAAAACTTCCAGCATACCATAAATCAAATGTGGCAGTGCACGCCTTCAATTTCAGCGCTCAGAAGGCAGAGGCAGGCAGATCTCTGTGAGTTCGAGGCCAGCCTGGTCTACATAGAAAAACCCTGTTTCCAAACAAAAACAATCAGGAGTTTAAGATCATCCTTGGATACATAGGGAATTCTGGGCCACCCTGGGCTACATGAGCCATTTACTTCAAAGAAACACAGTCAATAATACCAGATAGGTGAATGGGTGAGAAACAGTCTCGGGGGCAACAGGAAAGATGAACTGTTAAAAAATTTTATTAAAATGTCCAAGAAGTACATTAACGTCCACAGTGTCAGATACCACAGATCCACCGAACATTGAAGCTCCAAGAAAAAAACCAACAGAACGCGTAGCCGTTCACACACACACTCGCACTCCTGCCGCAGATGTGGCCCATGGAGGAAAAGAGCTAAAGATGAGCCTCCACTCCAGAAGAGCCCAAAGCCTCTCCATTCATGGAGCAGGGCTGGAGCAGGGCTGGGGCAGGGAGCAGCACACCCCTGCAGCCACTGAGCCCCCAGCAGCCACGCCCCAGTCCCTCCAGCCCAGGATTGCCAGGGGCTGGCTAAGGGTCTCCCTTCTGTATCATGAAATGTTAAAATAAATACAGCTGTGGCTCCCGGCTTCCCAGCCACAGCCAGAGGCCAGACAGTGGCTGTCTGCTGCAGGGCCACTAGGGATCAGGGTCCACTTTGCTTTTCTCAATCATTTCTCAAGCCAACTAGTGTGTGTGTGTGTGTGTGTGTGTGTGTGTGTGTGTGTGTGTGTGTGTGTGTGTGTGTGTGTGTTTGGAGCACAAATCAAACCAGAATTTGGGAATGGGGCTGAGTTGTGTTTGCAGCTCAGTGGATGTTCACAAAGCACACCAGATTCTGGGGTCCATGCCCGGTACTGTGTATATCAGCCATAGTGGTGCACACCTGTCATTCCAGCACTCGAGAAACTGAGGCAGGAAAATCAGGAGTTTAAGGTCGTCCTCAGCTACACAGTAAATTCAAGGCCAGCCTGGGATGCATGAGGCCCTGTCTAAAAAACAACAACCTTACACTAATTACAGTGCCCACAACGAAGTCCTTCCTGTCTGTAACTTTGTGAGCTGGGGATGGAACCCAGGACCTTGTGCAGGGCTAAGCACTCATCCCCGAGCTCCCCTGCCCATGCCTGCCGCACCAGCTCCCGCCCACACATTTTGAAAATTTTACTTGTTTATTTTGTGCTTGTGCAGTGTGTGTGGGTTTGTGCGGATGGCTTCGCCCGTGCTGCAGTGAGCGTATGGAAGTCACACGGCCTTTCGGGGCCAGCTCTGGCCTTCCACTCCCTCCAGGCTAGCTGGCTCACAAGCTCGCTGTCCCTCTTACAATACTAATCCTGTGACTACAGATTCATGCCATCCCACCTGGCTTTTCCTTTTTGAAACATGGGTTCCAGAGATTAAACTGGCTTCTTCAGGCTTCTTCGGCTACCATCTTTATCTGCTGGGCTGTGCTCAGGCTCCACACTGTGGTTTTAACACAAAATTCACAGATTTTTTTCCCCAGACTGGAGGGATTGAAAGTGGACAGAGGCCTTGGAGACAAATCTCTGGCCCCTCTGGATGAGGGACCCCATCCCTGGTTTGGAGAAGTCTTTTCTAAGGTGCAGATGGGAAGAGGGAGTGTAAGGTGGACTCTATCACATTTTAAAATGTGAAATTACGAGAGAAGGGTGTGTGTGTCACTTCTACAAGGAGACCACAAGGAGGGGTCCCTTCAAGCATTGCCAGTCCACTGGCAGGGTGTGGAGACAAGAAAGGGTGGGGCAGGGGTAGGACCCGAGGCAGGGGATTTACTGAGGTCTGCTGAAAGGGTTTAGTAAGGACAGGCTCTGGGCTAGAAAATGTGGCACCATCTTGGTCCAGGCAGGAGGTTATCTGTCTCCCTGAGAGATGGAGGGGGAATGCAGTGGCATCCAGATCTCATTTCTATACACATGGGTGTGAGAGATTTGTCATCGCAAACCCACGAAACTGCCACATGTGATGGTGTGTGCCTGTCATCCCAGCATTCAGGCAGCTGAAAAAGGATTGCTGTGGGCTGAAACCCAGCCTGGGTTATAGAATGAGATCCTGTGTCAATAAACAAAAGAAGTCTGGGCATGGTAATCCCAGGAGGCAGAGGCAGGCAAATCACTGAGTTCCAGGCCAGCCTGGTCTAGATAGCAAGTTCCAGGCTAGCCTGGGCTACACAGTGAAGTCCTGTTTCAAAACAAAAACAACCTCAAAACAGAGCCACTGTATCTCAGCACTGCACTAACCTGGGGGAGTAAACAATACACAACCCCCCATCACTCTAAGTAATCTCCCCTCAAAAGCCAAGGAGGCCAGTGACTCCAAGAGACATCCTAAAATTCAGTACATGGGGAGTTCCACACTAGATTTATGCACCAAGACCAAAGATCAAGGCTGGGGCTTAGTTAGTAGAGGGCACTTGCTGTACTCATGAGGCCCTGGGTCCCATCTGCAGCACCAAATGAACCAGGCAGGCATGGTGGTGCACAGCTATATTAGTGAGTTCAAAGCCCGCCTAGTCTATGGGGATGGGGGAGATGGAAGCTTGTGGGGAAGGAAGAAGAAAGCAAGCCAGACAGACCGAAGACCACCCTCAGGGGGAATCCCAGGTGAAGCCAGAGCAGGCCATGTTTGCGCTGTGGGCTTCTGCTGAGCCTCCACTCTCGAATCAGTGGCCTTCAGCCAAAGCTTCACCCTGGATTCAGGATGGTCCACTGTTTACTAAGCCTGAATCTCTGGTGTGAAAGCCACTCCCAGCACACACAAACATACTGTCGCCCCCTCTTGGAAGGTTAGCAGCCAGACTTCGGGATCCCTTTTCCCGTGGCTGGAGATGCTCCTAGAGACTTGGGCTGACCACTCTGTGGCCACCCCTGCAGGAGGACCTCAGGAGGGAAGGAAAGGGAGATCTGAGCTTTGTACAGAGGACCGCAGGGGTGTGGGTCTCAAGGGTGTTCCCACCCTCTCTCTCATGGCTGTCTGGGTTCTGGCTCCCCAGGTGAATGCTCTAGAGGAGGTGTGGGAGCATGTGCGTGCTTAGTCTGCATTTTCAGCAGAAATCTCCTTCGTCCTTCTCCCAGTTTTCCGCTGGGTGTCTCTTGTGTTTTCTGTGCTCCTTGTGGGGTTTGTGATGTCGGTGCTGGTGGTGGCGGTGTCTACGCATCCGATGTGACCGCCTGGCTGTAGGGATGGGAAAGAGATGAGAAGGGGTGAAGATGGATGTTGGGGTAGTTGGATGTTACTGGCCTCCTCAGGGGATGGAAAGAGAAGAAATACACTCAAGGAAGAACTCTGAGTTCAAGGCCAGCCAGAGCTGCATAGTAAGACCCTGTCTCAAAAAACTCAAAAAACCAAGCCAGGTTATGGTGGCGCAAGCCTTTGATCCCAGGACTCAAGATATAGAGGCAGACAGATCTTTGTGAGTTCAAGGCCATCCTGGTCTACAGAGCAAGTTCCAGGACAGCCAAGGCTACACAGGGAAACCCTGTCTTGAAAAACAAAAAACAAACAAAGAACCAAAACAAAAAACAACTTGTTGAGGGCTAGAAATGTGGCTTCATTTATCAAAAGAGCCACATTCCTGGGTTGTGTGGGTCCTACTTTACAGCCCAGGCTGGCCTGGGATCTACAGCTTCTTTGCACTGACCTCAGAGTAGCTGAGAACACGGTCAATACCCAGAACCCCATCAGCTGGTGTGGGGACTCGTGTACACCTGTCGACCCAGCACTTCCAGGGTAGGAAGCAAGTCTTGGCTACACATCCCAGCTTTGAAGCCAGTCTGTGCTGCAAGAGATTCTGTCTCAAAAACATACAATGAAAGCATTAGGTGGGCTGGTGAGGTTTCACTTATCTGAAAGGCTGCATTACCAGGAAGATTTTGTTTCGTTTGTTTTTCAAGACAGGGTTTCTCTGTGTAACAGCCTTGGCTGTCCTGGAACTCAATTTGTAGAGCAGGCTGGCCTAGGTCTGCCTCTGTCTCTGAGCACTGGGATTTAAGGTGACTGCCACCACTGCCCAGCCACAGGAAGACTTTTTTTGAGACAGGGTCTCACGTAGCTCAGGCTGGCCTTAAACTTACTATGTAACAAAGGATGACCTTGATCTTCTGAGCCTCCTGCCTCTACCTCCTGAGTGCTCGGAGGACAGGTCTCTGGAAATGGAGCCCTGACTCCAGCAACTGAGCTACAAGCACTGTACTCACCGAGCTACAAGCACTGTACTCACCGAGCTACAAGCACTCTACCCACTGAGCTACAAGCACTCTACCCACTGAGCCACATCCTCAGCTTAGCTTTTTCTCTCCTGTGGGTCTCACACTACAGCCCAGGCTGACCTCAAACTGTGGTCTTCCTGCCTCAGCCTCCACGTTGCTGGGATTACAGATGATGCCATCCCACTGTGTGGAGATAGGGCACGATAACCAGGACCTATAAACAACTGGAATTTTGTCAGGGACGGGTTATGGGGCACAGTACTTACGTTTGGTGCAGACAATCTGGGGCCGGTCCCACTTTCCATTGTTCCGGCATCGGATAGTGGCCACATGGTGCTGGGAGAACCCTTCATCACACTGGTATCGCACAGTGGCATGGACACTGTACTTGGCCTTGCGTACACCAACAAGGGAGGCATTTTCCACTGCTGGAGGGGGACCACACAGCACTGGGGACAGAGGGGCTCTGGTTAGGGGAGTGGCTAAGGGTGAGGATAAGCCAGTGACACATCTTGTTAGATGGCAGCCCTCCAGGTGTCAGCTCCCCACCTCTGCACACACACCCCACTCCCTAGGGCATAAGGCACAAGAATAAACTGAAGCACAAAAGAAAAGTGGACAGAATGCATACAATTATTTCCTTCACTTAGAAATTATCCAGGTGGTGGCGCACGCCTTTAATCCCAGCACTCGGGAGGAAGACACAGCAGATCTCTGAGTTCAAGGACAGCCTGGTCTACAGAGTGAGTTCCAGGACAGCCAGGATGACACAGAGAAACCGTGTCTCGAAAAACCAAATAAAAATTTTGAAAGAAAGAAAGAAAAGAAGAGAAAAAGAAATCATGCCAGGCAGTGGTGGCACACGCCTTTAAATCCCAGCACTCAGGAGGCAGAGGCAGGCGGATCTCTGTGAGTTCGAGGCCAGCCTGGTCTACAAATCGAGTTCCAGGACAGCCAGGATGACACAGAGAAACCCTATCTTGAAAGGGGTGGGGAGAAAAAGAAAAAGAAAAGAAATCATTAACCCCAAGGCACTCCTGGGAATCGTCAGGAACACAGCTACAAGTGTCTAGAGGACAAGCAGGAGGGCACGTGCAGTACCTGTGGCCTTCTTGCAGACGTATGGGAGGTTGTAGTTGCAGGGGACATCATTCCAGCGCCCACTCTCATGTGCCACCATCACCACACAATCCTCGCCACCCGCGAAGAAATTATCTGGCTGATTCTCCCTCCAGTTCTCATATTGCTTTGGAAAGAAAGAGCTGAGGTCACTCTGGTGCCTGTGTGTGAGCCCAGCTCCTGGTGCTTCCTGAGTGATTCCTGTGGCCAGACCCCTCCAACAAGAGGAGGATTGGTGCCCCCGTCTCTACAACAGGCACTGGCCATCTCTAGATGGGCACCCTTCTCTAGCTGGGAGGTTGCAACACCTTTTCTATTCTTCCTGCCTCGTTTATACCCGCTTCACAGCATAGTTGAAAAAATGCTGACCCCAGCTTGGAAGTATAGGAGGGGCTTCCCTCAGGAGGCAACAGGAGGCACTGGAGCTGAGGGGCACCCAGGCAGGGGCACCCAGGCAGGGAACAGAGTTCCAAGCACAGGGAAGTTCCTGCACAGGACAGAGAGTGGGCAGTACCAGATCTCACAGGCGGCAAGAGGAAATGAGTACTTTACAAATTGTGGTAGTGTATGTATACCATGAAACTTGCCTTTAAAGGTATTTTTATTACATTTAAATTTTTTGAGCAGGAGAGGTGGCTCAGCAGTTGAGCACTGGCTGCTCTTTCAGAGGACCTGAATTTGATTCTCAGCACCTACATGGTGGCTCACAACTATTGATAACTCCTGTTCTCTGGCCTCTGAGGGCACTGCATGTACACGGTGTACAGAGATGCACGCTGGCCAAACACTCCCACACAGTAAATAAGGAAGTAAATAAAATTTTACAAGAATTGGTTTGTTTGAGCCAGGCATGGTAGCACACACTTTTAATCCCAGCAGTCGAAAAGTAGAGGCAGTCGAATTTCTGTGAGTTCAAGTTCAGCCTGGTCCACAGATGGAGTTCCAGAACAGCCAGGGCTACACAGAGAAACTCTGTCTCAAAAACTACTATTTCAGAGAGGGACACACATAGCATGTACCTTTGGAGGTTAGAGGACACCTTTGAAAATCTCTTTTCTTTGCTCCTCAGGGGTCAAACTCAGGTGATCAGGCTTGCAACCAGCTTATACCTGCTTGTGCTGTCTCGCCGACCCCACGTAAACCGTTTGAAAGCCGCGGTTCATGACGTTACCCCATCTTAGTGTTGTGTAACCATCACCACTGCGTCTATTTCCAGAAATTGTCATCACGACAAACCAAAATTCTACACCAATCCAGGAAAAAATAATTCCTCATTCTGCCTGCCTGGCGCCTGGCACATGCCGCCTGCCCCGCCCCCACCCCACGGCTCCTCTGCAGGCTTCCTTTCAGGCAGTTGGGCATTGATGCCTTTAACCTGTTGCTTAGCTTGCTGATGCTTTTTGCTTTTTTTGAGACAGAGTCTCAACTGTGCAACAATGACTGGTCTACAATTCACTTTGTAGCCTGGCTAAAGCTCCAGCTTGCAATGATCCTCCTGCCTCAGCCTCTCAAGTACTGGAATGTCAGACAAGCACCGCAATAACCACATTATTTCAATGATACCTATTTCTTCATATTTTACAGTGTTGGGATGGAATCAGATGGAAGCCAGGCTGAGCCATGCCCCCAGCCCCTCACTGGGGATTCTAGGCGGGGCTCCACCCTGACCACGCCCCCAGCCCCTCACTGGGGTCTCTAGGCGGGGCTCCACCCTGAGCCACGCCCCCAGCCCCTCACTGGGAATTCTAGGCGGGGCTCCACCCTGACCACGCCCCCAGCCCCTCACTGGGGATCCTAGGCAGGGCTCCACCCCTGAGCCACGCCCCCAGCCCCTCACTGGGGATTCTAGGCGGGGCTCCACCCCTGAGCCACGCCCCCAGCCCCTCACTGGGGGATTCTAGGCGGGACTCCACCCCTGAGCCACGCCCCCAGCCCTCACTGGGGGATTCTAGGCGGGGCTCTTCTGCCAAGCCACTCCAGAGCTTCTGAGGACCTATGATGCCCACCAGTGGTTGCTTCACAGGAGGGTGAACTGGGGCCATTAGGCAGGCCCACTGGGGCTCAGCAGCCTGAAGACGGGGACCTGCCACTCACCAGTCCCGTGTTGTCTGTCCACTGGAAGTCCCTCTCCACAGTTCTGTCATTCAGGCCGATCCACGAGTTCTCATGTCCAAAGCCTGTTGGGAGGGAGGACTATGAGAGTATGCTCCTCCCCAGGGCTGAAGGAAAAGAAATGATGTCCAGGGGCCTTCTCTTTCCCAGACCAGAGGAGGCTGGAGGAGGGTAAAGGCTGAGGCTGGTGAGAACCACACAGGGAGTTGCCGGCAGGAGAGTGAACACAGTGGACATCAAGGGAGGGGTGGGAAATAAGCATGGGCCCGGAGACCTGAGTGCGAGGGGCCTGGAGAGAAAAACGGGGTTGGATGGGAAGGATGGGAGGGAGTTAGGAGGAGTGGCGGTGACCACACTTAGGGGTTGAGTGGGAAGTGGATGGAGAACAGCCCCACCCTCAGTAACGTGCGGTTTCTGTGGGTCAAGTGTTCTGTGGAAGGGAAGGCCTCAACTTCCCCTGGCTCAGAGGTGGGCTATGGAGCGGTGTAGTGAGTGTGGTAGCACGAGGTGAGGAAGGCCTGGAGCCCTGCCCAGTCATTGGGCAGCCAGAAAGGACAAATGTGGCACATGAGAAAACAGGCACAGGCCCCGTCAGCTCCTTCTGGAGAGGCGAGGGTGGGGAGCGGGGGACGGGGGTCACCCAGGCAGTGCTGGCTGGGGCAGGAGGGCCAGTGAGGAGCCCAAACCAGAAGCCAGTTCCAACCATGGATGATCAGACAGGGTTGACACAGTGAGCCACACAATGAACAGGGACAGGGTCAGTGCCACGTGAAGAAACTGTGACTGAAGTAATGAGTGCCACTTCCAGTTCACGCCACTTTCTGCAGAGACCCAGCTGCCTCCAAGTTCCATTCCCTGGCTCTGTTTTATTTGTCAATTCGTATAGTGTTAAAAATAGGGGTTGGGGATTTAGTTTAGTGGTAGAGCACTTGCCTAGCAAGCGCAAGGCCCTGGGTTCGGTCCTCAGCTCCGGAAAAAGGAAGAAAAAATAATAATAATAATAATAAAGCTGGGTGTGGTGGCACACGCCTTTAATCTCAGCACCCGGGAGGCAGAGGCAGGTGGATCTCTGTGAGTTCAAGGCCAACCTGGTCTACAGAGAAAGTTCCAGGACAGCCAGCCCTACACAGAGAAACCGTGTCTCAAAAAAATAATAATAATAATAATAATGATACGGAATAATACAATAAAGCATGGAAGTCATCCAAGCACCAGGCCACACATTACCTTCTTAGACATGTGCTTGATGGTCAAATTCCTCAGCCCCTTGTGAGTGTCACTTCCTAATGACCCACTTGTCTCACTGCGTATGTCAGGACCTGCCATGAGCGGGAGATAACAGGCGTGCAGAGACTGCTTGGGGAGCATCAGTGAACTAACGTGGGACTCCGCAGATGTGTGGCGGTCAAGAAGGTGCCAGGGGGTTCTAAGGTCTCCAGGGCTCCCCAGCTCACCACACTGTCCCTACCGTTAATGAACTTGTGCTCCTCTGGCGAGTGGACACTTGTCAGGTGGCCAGCCCGGCGCCTGCAGTCTCTCTCTGCATCCTCCCAGGCACGCCGATGGGCAAAGTACCGGTAGCAGTGACCCTGGAATTTGTGCCAGCCACGGTCACAACCTTCTGTGTCTGGGAGGTGGGACAGGAATGTGAGGTGGGCTAGTTACCTCCCAGGCGGCAACGCACGTGATTGCCCAGACGTACAAGCAGTCACAACACCCAAACACACAAAAAGAATAGATTGATTAAAATTTTTTAAATAAAAAAAAAAAATAGCTTGGCGGCAGTGGCACACGCCTTTAATCCCAGCACTCGGGAGGCAGAGCCAGGAGGATCTCTGTGAGTTCGAGGCCAGCCTGGTCTACAGAGTGAGTTCCAGGACAGGCATCAAAACTACACGAGAAACCGTCTCAAAAAAAAAAAAAAAGAAAAGATAAATAAATTAAAATAAAAAAAATAGGGCTAGCAAGACACTTCCGTAGATGAGGGCGCTTGCCACCATGCCCAGCGAGCCAAATAGACAGGATCAAAGGAGAAAGCTGAGTCCTGAAAGTTTTCCCGACCTCCACACACATGCCCCATGCCATGCACATACACAGAACATATAAGTTTTAAACTATATAAAATAAATAATAAAGCTAATTTACACCCTGTGGGACTCAGCCAGACCCAGAGGAGACTTGAACGTGTGTCAGGGGCAGGGACTCACCCTTCTCACACAGGCTGCCCCCATAGCTGGGGAGGCAGAGGCAGAGGAAGCCGTTCACCTCATCAATGCAGGTGCCTCCGTTCTCACAGGGGCTGCACAAACAGTCATCAATGTCTGGGAGACATGGATAGTTAGAGGTCAGAGGTCAGCCTCCACTCAGATCCCAGACCGCAGGTACAGATGGGTCAAGGTCCTTCTGACCACCCCCTGGGCACCTGGAGGGATGCAGGCGCCACCAGACAGACGAGTGGGACTCGGGCATCCAGGGACATGCAGCCTGAAAGTGTTTCCTTTGCACAACTGAAAGGGCCCCTGAGCTCCACTGGTAGTGTTTGTAGACAGAACCAAGCAATTCAGTTAACCTCTGTGTCACCTAACTTCACATGTGCGCGCGCGCGCGCGCGCGCACACACACACACACACACACACACACACGAGTGTGTGGGAGGCTAGAGGCCAATCTTAGATGCTGTTACTCAGTTGTCACTCTTTCGGATTTTTGAAATACAACATTTAAAAAATGTATCTTGTTTCTTGTGTGTGGGTTTTTGTTTTGTTTTGTTTGTTTGTTTGGAAAGGGTCTCTTTCCAAGCCCTGCCTGTCCTGGAACTCTCTCTGTAGACCAGGCTAGTCTTTACTCACAGAGATCTACCTGCCTCTATCTCCTGAGTACTGGGATTAAAGGTGTGCGCCACCATGCCTGGTCCTCATTTGTGTTTTTAGTTATGACTCTATAATTCCTATGGTTGTGAAGTCAAGCAGAGGATGCACAGTGATCAAGAAATTACACCATAGGGCCTGAAGAGATGGCTCAGAGGTTAAGAGCACTGGCTGCTCTTCCAGAGGACCCAAGTTCAATTCCCAGCACCCACTTGGTGGCTCCCAACCCTCTGTAACTCCTGTTGCCTTCTTCTGGCCTCTGCAGGCAATGCACACAAATGGTGCGACAGACAGACATGCAAGCGAAACACCCGTAAATACAAAATAAAAATAAATCTTTAAAAAAAGAAACGACACCATCTATACTTAGTGCTGTCATCTCACATTAGCAGTATGAGTGGTACCCACACTGTTGTCCACCTAGACGAGGGGAGCCTCCCAGAGCCCTTTGCTTGCTGGGGGTCATCTGACCCTTCTGTTGCCCCCCTCCTAACCTCTAATGCTCACGGTTGGAAATGGCTCTCCTGGGCTACAGCCCCCAGGCCACAGCCCCTCAGCTGACTAGTTTGGGCTCAGCTAATTTCGGTTGATTCACCTGACTCAGAGCACAGGGGGCAGGACAGTGCTCTGGCCTGGGACACTCACCAATTTCACAGTTCTCCCCAGCATAGCCCTGATCACAGCTACAGCCGTACATGGTGCCGTTGGTGTGACAGGTGCCCCCGTGCAGGCAAGGGTTGTTCTCGCAGGGATCTGTGGGGTCTGTGGGATGGACAGGCACTGTGAGGATGGACTGGCCGCCACGTCGTCTTTCATGGAATCCAGAAATTAGCCCTTGTCTGTGAAGTCCCCTCCGTTGCCTCCCCAATGAACAATGGCTCACATGCTTTGGGATAAAGACCTTACCCCTTTCAAGAATTGCACCACAGCATCTGTGGGATGCCCTGCTCACAGCAAAGTTCTCTCTCAGGTCATACTGGACTCACCAGCCTAGTGAGTTTACTCAGGGACCAGAAGACAAGTTGCAGCAGTTAATTCTCTTTGTCACTGTGTGGGTCTCGGGGCTTGGACTCATGTCTTCCAGCTTGGCGGCAAGCACCCTTAGCCACTGAACCCTCACTGGCCCGCCAGGTTCCTTTCGTACTTACTGATTTTGTCTCTCTCTCTGAGAGCAGTGACATTCCATATGGCAACCACACTCTTTCATGCTTAAATTAATTAAAATGAGATGATGCATGCATTTCTATGAGCCACATGTCAATATGACCACTCAGAGAATGTTGTTGTAGAGTATCAGCTTGCAAGGCCCAGGACACAGCAATCACTGCAGGTTAACTGAACAGTGGGGGCAGCTAGCTGTCCTGCAGTGGCTGAGACATCTGTCCCTGGGGCAGTGACACTGGGAACCGGGGGTCTGATCTGTGTGATGTGCCTGCTGAAGTCCCAGCCCTGTGTAAGCATATCTGGGACAGAGGGTGACATGAAACACTTGACAGCCACCAGGTTGCCCCACCACAACACCTACCCATGGCTGGCACTGACTCAGCTGAGCTGGTGTATTTTTGGCATTATTAGCATCTGTGCTGTGGGTGTCTTGCCACCCTCCCACCACAGCCACCTTCCGCCACCCGGAGTCCTGACTGCAGACCCTCTAATTAACTTTCGTCCAGATGCTGCCATTCTCGGGGACCCACCTCCCCACAGCCTCCGACCGCCCAGGCTGCCACTGTGTGTCACATGGCCTGTACTCTGCATCTTGCAGGCTAGTGCCGGAGACAGAGGCTCCTCTTCCCCTCTCGTCCTTCCGTCCTATTTTCCTCCCCTCCCCCCTGTCTCCCTTCTTCCCCCACTCCAGCGTTATACAGTCGCATGTCCTGGAACTCACTTCTTAGCTGAGGCTGACTTCTGACCTGTGACCCCTGCCTTTACCTCCCCAGTGCTGGGATGTGGGCTTGTGCCAAGCCCAACTCACAACTCATAAGCTCTGGTTTTTGTTTTTCTGTCCAAGTTCCAGCTCCAGCCGCAGCTGCATGAACACACTAAGTTCTCAGATATCCCTGTGCCTCAGTCTCCCCTCACACAAGAGCTTGTCCCATGAGATGTTACAAAGTTGAACCATTCTGGCATTCTGTCTGGGAATGGGAACACATGCCCATGATCCTCACACTCAGGAGACTGAGGCAGAAGGGTTGGTGAGATCTCTAGGCCAGTCTGGGCTACAGAGTGAGATCCTGTCTAAAAAAAGGGGGTGGGGTGGGGTAATTCTGTGGACATGGCTCAGACCTGAGTTCAATCCCCTGCATCCACTTCATAAAACCTGGGTGTGGCTGGGCATGGTGGCACATGCTTTTAATCCAGGCACTTGGGAAGCAGATCTCTGTGAATTAGAGGCCAGCCTTATTGATCTACAGAGCAAGTTCCAGGCCAGCAGGGCTACAGAGTGGGATCCTGTCTCAAAGTAGGAGGGGGCTGAAAAGATGGTTCAGCAGGTAAGAGCACACTGTTCTTAGGAGTTTGATTCCCAGCATGCACACGGCAGTTCACAACCATTGGTAGCTCTGATTCTAAGGGATCCCCATGGGCACTAGGCACATGTGCAGTGCACATACATGTGGGCACCCCCCCCAAAAAAAATAAGTGTGTGCCTGCAGTCCTAGCTCTGGGGAGATGTAGACAGGGGGATCCCAGGGCTTACTGACTAGACAATCTAGCTTGATTGGCAAGTTCATAGGCCAGTGAGAGACCTTGTCTTCAAACACAAGATGGAGAACTGGCATGGTTGCTCAGCAGGTGAAGATGCTTAATGCTAAGATGATGACCTGAGTTTGATTCCCACGTGGTGGAAGGAGGGAACTCGGTCCCAAAATTGTCCCCCAACTTTCACAAGAGTGCCATGGCATGCATATATTCATGTGCATGCACACACATTAAACAAAAATAATCAAAAAATAAACAAGAGGGACAGTGCCTGAGGACAAGCACCTCTGGACTGTACATGCATGTGTTTATATGTGCACCTACACATGTGTGCACTTGCATGCACATAATAAAAAGATAAATGAATTTTAAAAAACAGGCTGGGTGTGGTGGTTTGAGTAAGAATGGCCCCCTTAGGCTCATAGATTTGAATGCTTAGTCAGCAGGGAGTGGCACTGCTTGAGAAGGATTAGGGGGTGTGGCCTTATTGGAGATAATGTGTCTTCACTGGGGATGGGCTTTGAGGCTGTAAAATGCCCATGCCAGGCCCAGTTCTCTTCTCTGCTTGTGTGCCAGGATGTAGCTCTTAGCTACTGCTCCAGCACAATGCCTGCCACCATGATGATAATGGACTAAGCCTCTGAAACGATAAGCAAGCCCCAACTAAATGTTTTCTTTTATATGAGTTGCCGTGGTCATTGTGTCTCTTCACAGCAATAGGACAGTTACTAAGACACTGGGCATGATGGCATAAAACTAATATTCCAGCATTCAGAGAGCTAGGGCAGGAGGATTGTCACCAGTTCAAGGCTACCCTGGGTTCCACAGTGGCTAAGCAGGCAGTGTTGTTGGTCACTGAGCCTGCTCCCGCCTCCCATTCTCCTCAGGGCTCCAGCCCCTGCCATCTCCATGACTAAGTCAATCCAGCTCTGGTTCCTGCCCATCCTAGATACTGCTTGAACCATGTCCTGTCCTTCCTACTCTGCCTGGGATGCAACCAGATCCAATTGTCTTCTACAGACATCAAAATTGTTGAAGGTAGGCCCTTGGCATCACATTGCCCTGTTCCTCAAAGTGATCTGCATATTTGGAAACTGAATTCCCCCAAATTCAATTCCCCAGTGCCTCATGGAGCCCATGCTTTAGTCAATGGCCACATTCCTTGAGTGTTAGAAGGAACGTGTTAGCCAGACAAGGTAATGAATGCTTTTAATCCCAGGGCTCGGGAGGCAGAGACAGGTGGAACTCTGTGCACTCAAGGTCAGCCAGGTCTACATAGCCAGTTCCATACCAGCAAGGGCTACATAGAGAGACCCTGTCCAAACAACAGCACAAAACAACACAGAAAGGCCCAATGTAACTTGCCTCCTGACCTCTGACCTTTAGCATCATCCTTTGTTAGAAAATTCCAGCCCTCCCAGAGCATTTCCCCTGCTCAGGGAAGCCCCAGCCTCCAGTCCCCAGGCCCTGGCCACACTAGGACAGATGGAGAACCCAGAACTTACCCTCCTGCCCACTGGCCACCTCTTCCCAGAAGTCCTCCAATCCTGGACTCCCAGCCACAACATTCAGGTCTGATTCATCCAACCCCAGGGACACAGGCATCAGGGTACTGGGGGTGTCCCACAGCCCGGTGGGCTCCCCTGAGGAAACTGAGGTCATTTCATCCACGCTGGAGGCCAGGGATGACCATGGATGAGAAGGCAGACTGCTGTGAGGCCTTGGTGACCCCTGGGCCACCATCTGGTCCTGTGGCTCTGGGTGGTCTTCGGAGATTGTGGAGGTCAGTGTAGGCACACCCTGAGTTCCAGCCATGGTCCCTTGGTCCATGCTTGGACTCACAACCACATGGGTGCTAGAAATGGAACTTTTAGGTTCCAACCCCCAAGTGACATCAGCACCTCTGGGGACCAGCTCCATGGTGGCCTTCCTAGGACCCTCGAGGGGGCCTCCTTCCAAAGCCACGGTAGGTTTCACACTCACGGTGACTCCATGGCCTCCCAATGGTGAGGACTGGGAACCAGTGTTCAGTCCTTGGCTGGGCAGTGGTAGCCAGGTGGACAGCACCTTGCCCATAGTGACCTGTCCACTGGATGTGGGACTCTCTGATATGTCCAAGACCCCAGACTCAGTCCCTAGGATGCCAGCATCAGAGGGGACAGGATTGACAGTCACATTACTGGAGTCCAAGGACACCCATGGGCCAGAGCTGGGGTGCTTGGTAGCCTGGATGGAGCTGATACCCCCAACTTCTTTAGAATCTGTAGCAGGGGATTTGTGGCTGGTTTCAACTAGGGCATCCATAGTGGTCTGAGATGGGGTTTCAAGGCCTTCTGCTCCAAGGTTGATGGGCCCGGCAGTGGTAATATCCCCATTCTGTTCTTCTGGATGCCAGGAGGGGAGTGGAGAAGCTGGGGAGGGAGGAATGGGGGTCACATTGGGGACGAATGTGGAGTGTGGCAGGAGCCACAGTTTGGGGGCACGAAGCATTGCAACAATGGGGAAGTCTGGAGAGGTGTCATCAGGGGACGCCTCGTGGTAGACAACACTTGGGGCCTCCGAGGGGCTGGAAGGACGGACAGGAGGCTCTGAGGGAGACCAGGGCAGGTGGCGGAGGGTTGATTTAACAATGGGAGCTTCAGCTGTCCCTGGCTTCAGGCCAGGGTCACGGTCAGGGCTTGTGACAGTAGGTGAGATCAAAGATGGAGACCACATCCAGGGCTCTGGAGGACTCCTGCTGCCATGGGAACCTGTGACATCGAAAGAGTTCTCGTTAGCAGGGCCTGGCGGCACACACTGATGGTCCCAGCACTTGGGAGTGGAGGCAGGAGGATAAACATGTAAGGGCAGTCTGCACTACCCAGAGGCACAGCCTCCAGAGACACGTTTAGCAGATGTGGCGAACAAGCCCGCTCAGGAGAATCTGGGCTTCAGAGTCATCCATGGATACATGGAAGTTAGAGGCCAGCCTGGGCTACATAAGAAGTTGTCTTAACACACCCTCCCCAGCAAACAAACAACAAAAGCTAAACGTGTCAGCACACACCTGTCATCTCAGTGCTTAGGAGACCAAGGCAGGAGGATTGCTTTGAGTTCCAGGCCAGCCTTGGGTACAGAGTGAGACTCTGCCTCAAAACACAAAACTCAGGGTTGGATGATGGATCCAGAGGGTAACGTGTTTGCTATGAAGACAGGAAGACTTGAGTTCGGATCCACAGCACTCCCATAAAAACTGGCCACAGCAGCCCAGGTCTTTAACTCCAGTTCAGGGGAAGGGGGAGGGGAGGGGAGCCAAGAGGGAGCCCAGGTCTAGTGAGAGACCTGCCTAAGGTGGAGGGCCATAAAGGGAGACACTTGAAGTCAACCTCTGGTCTCCACTAGCTTGTGTGCATGCACCCACCCTCACACTCACACACACACACACACACACACACACACACACACACTCACATACCACACACACACACACACACACACTCATATACCACACACACTCCAAACACACTCACATAAACCTCACACACACACTCACTCACATACCACAACACACTCATACACACTACACACACACATACCACACACATACATACCACACACACTCCATACAAACACACTCACATAAACCTCACTCACATACACATACTTACACACCACACACACTCATATAAACACACTCACACACGCACACACAACAAAATGGGTATTTGGAGGCAGGACTATGGCAAGGTTGGGGGCGCTGGAACAATGTGAGTCTTGCTAGCCCTTCCTTTCTCCCCAGGTCACTCACCTGTCCCTGGCATGTCCACTTCGTTGGTCAGAATGACCCAGGGACTGTGACTGCGGCTCTGGTCACTCTCTGAGGCCTCTGTGGTAGCAGAAGGCCCCCAGAAGTCAGCAGTAACTTCCAGAGTCGGAGGCTGGGCACTGGCTTCTGCTGTCCCAAGCAGCTGGCCCTCTGTGCCCTGTTGCTGGAAGTGTCGACCATTTAACCCTTTGAAGCGGCCCCTCCTCGCCATGGGGGTGGAGGCTACCTGTGTGCCCGAGGGTGTTGTCTCTACCATATCCACTCCCATGCTGCTGGGGCTGGGGACACCTGTAAGCACCCATGAAGCCAGTGTGGGACCGCCTGCGGTAGAGCCAAGGGTCTTCTGAGGCTCTTGTGTCCATGTCGAGTCCAGGGGTTCATCTTCTCCACTGGACATGAGAGGTTCCTGGAACTCAGGTGCTGCCTCCTCCCTCAGGCTGGGCTCTAGTTCTTGGGCTGGGGGTCCCTCTGCTGACACAATCTCCCCATCATCTCCAGAAGAGGGGGTCTCCGGGTCTCTGTGTTGTGGTGTAAGGTGATGAGCTATAGAAAAAGCAGCAGTGGTTGAGGTGGCCCAGGCAGAGCCAGGAAAGTAAAGTGGTGTGAAGCCCCACCCAGGGCGGGATTTCTAGGGTTAAGGCATCTCAGGGAAATAGAGCCCAAGGGGAGAATGCAACTTCTCCAGAGCCCCACCCACTAGTGCGGTGTCTTCTTGTCTGTCTGCAGTCCAAGCTAACCTGGAAAATCAATATATAGCCCAGGCTTACTTCAAGCTCACAGAGATCCTCCTGCTTCAGCCTTCCAAATGCTAGGTGATACAACAGTGGCCCAGCAGTGGCCACATCAAAGGAAAGACCCATCTGAGGAGGAGGGACTCTCCCCAGAGGGTATGCTCGTCACAGGGTTTCCATGGAGACATGGGCATGGGAATGATTTTATTATTTTGTTTCTGGCTTTTTGAGACAGGATCTCATGTAGCCCAGACTTGCCCTGAACTGATTAGGTAGCCCAAGATGATCTTAGCATTTCTGATTCTTTTGCCTCTTTGTCCCAGGCCCTCAGGTGCACACCTGACTTTATCTGGTGATGGGGACAGGACTCAGGGCTTTGTGCCTGCAAGGGAGGTGCTCTACCCGCTGAACCACAGCCACAGCCAAGAACAATATAAAGGAATGCTTCTGGACCCTGCACTGGAGGCAGAAGCAGGTGCATCCCTGTGAGTTCAAGACCAGCATGGTCTACATAAAGAGTTCCAGGCCAGTCAGAGCTGCACACTGAGAACCCTGTCTCAAGAGAAACAAGTTAATGAAAAATGGTAGGGATGTGGCCTTCACTAGCCTATATCCAGAAGCATGTCCACAGAAGACTCAGCCATGGAGCATGCCCATCATCAATGGTCCTGATAGGGTTATGGGATGTGGCCTTCACCTACTCCTGATGGGCTCAAGGGAACATAACTAATGGCATGTGGTTTGTTCCACCCAATGCAGATGATGGGACACGCTCACGGAGGCCATAACCAAGCTTTCCTGGTGGGTCTGTGGTCCCAAGGGAACACATCCACAACACACAACCAGTAGCTGCAGGGGTTGGCCCGGGTGTATGCGGTCAGGCGGGGACACCACCTGGGGGCATGGCTTAGTCAGACACTCCCAACTGGGGACGGTCTGGATGACACACACCCGCGAAGGGTGGCCCCAGACAATGGCTGTGGTGGATGTGGCCTGCAGCACCCCCCCGGGGGGCATATCATAAACGCACCTCGGAAGCAGTAGGCGTCGAAACGTGCTCCAGGCGCAGGGAAGCCGGTGCGGTTGGCAAAGCGGTACACTGTGCGCACACCCGGGGCGGGACCCCCACAACGCCGTCGCGGCGTCTGGATCGGGTAGCGCACGCTGCCATCTGCCAGCCAGCCCGGGTCGCACTGGTCCAGGCCCTCGTGCCAGGCCAGGTGCAACTGCCCCACCGAGGCTAGCGCCGCACCCTGCCGCTGACACTGTGCCCGCGCGCCTGCCAGAGTCAGTCGGCGGGCGGGGCCCACGTAGAAGACCTCGCCTGGGAGAGGGACAGGGTGGAGGTCAGAAAGGGGTTGGAAAAGGAGGGAAGCTCGGAACTGAGGATGGGAAGCTCAAGGGACGGGTGGCCCAGGTCCTGGCTCCAGCTTTGGAGAGCTTTGAGGGGACTTAGAGAGACTCGGGGGCTGAAAGAACACCTGACACTCGGGGAGACGTGGCCCGGGTTCCAAGTGCAGCTTTGGAGGGCACTGAGACTTCGGAGAGATTCGTGTGGGCGTAGGGAAGTGTGAGGCCTGGGAAAGCACCTGACACTCAAGGACAGGTGGCCCCGGGTCCCAGCCGCGCTCGCCTTACCCCCCAGCTCGCGGGCAAAGCAATAGACATCGTAGAGTTCCTGCGGGTCGCGTCTCCCATAGCTCCGAACCCCAGGCAGACTGCTGCGGTCACCGTAGCAACCAGGACGCGACTGGGTGATCGGATACCTGACGGTGGGAGGGGAGTGGCTATCAGACCTGGGCTCCCGGAGCCCCTTTCTCCAGGAGCGGACCCCGTCCCAAGCCTCCCGCGCACCCCCTCACCGAACCGTGCGGTCTGAGAGCCAGCCCGCGTCGCAGTTGTCAAAGCCGTCTTCGAAGGCAGCCTGCAGATGCCGCGGGGCTGCGATGGTGGCTGAGCTCAGGCGGCAGGCCTCCTGGGCTTCAGCGAAGGTCAGTGCGTAGCGATCCCGGGCCGCCCGGTAGTGGAACACGACGCCTGTGGGGTAAGAGCCGGGAGGCCGGAGAGAGGCTTATGGTGGAATCTTAAGAGAACAGACCTCCCTTGAGCAGACTTTTTAAAAGATGGTCTTGCTGGGCCGTGGTGGCGCAGGCCTTTAATCCCAGCACTCAAGGAGCAGAGGCAGGGGGATCTCTGAGTTCAAGGCCAGCCTAGAAAACAGTGGTTTCCATGATAGCCAGGGCTACATAGTGAGACTGTCTCAAAACGAACAAAGAAACACACACACACACACACACACACACACACACACACACACACACACACACAAAGACATAGTCTCATGTAGCCCAGGCTGACTTGAGACTCACAAAGCTTCACCCACCTCTACTTGTGAGTTCACCCCCACACCCAGATCGATTTTTCTTAATCTGTTGGGAAAACAGAGGCTGCCCTAGAATGGAGCAGAGGAGCAGTGTCTTCCCAATGCACGTGTTAACTGACGTTTTAAAGATAGGCTCACTTAACCTTTTTAAAGAGATTCGTATTTGGGGGCTAGAGAGATGGTTCCGCAGTTGAGTATTTTTGCTCTTCCCGAGGACTCAGGTTCTATTCCCAGCACCCACATGGTGGCTCACAACCATTTATAACTCCAGTTCCATGGGATCCAGTGCCCTCTTCTTCTCTCTGTGGCACGAGGGCCACACCTGGTGCACAATATACATGCAAAGCATCCAAGCACATAAAACAAAAAAGTGAAGTTTTTTATTTTTTTTTTGAAACAGGGTTTCTCTGTGTAGCCCTGGCTGTCTTGGAACTCACTCTGTAGATCAGACTGGCCTCGAACTCACAGAGATCCGCCTGGCTCTGCCTCCCGAGTGCTGGGATTAAAGGTCACAGGACGACTTGAAAGGTGAACCCATGTCTGGGCCTCAGGCTTGCTCCTCCTCTCCCGATTTAGCCCCTCCCCTTCCGTCTCAGCTCCTCTCTAGTCTCACTCCCCCTTCCACGCTCAGCCCCTCTCATTCCATCCTAGCCCCCTCCCTTCAATCCTACAATGCCCCTTCTTCCTCAGGCCCTCCCCTCTGTGTCAGCCCCTTCCCTACTATTTTAGCCCCTCTTCTTCTATCCTTGGCTCCCTCCCTGCTATCTCCTCACCCCTGCACACTAGCTCCTCCCCTTCCATCCTTGCTTCCTCTTCTTTTATCTTTGTTCTCTCCCCCTTTACCCTTGCACCCCCTTCTGTCCTGGGCACCTCATCTCCATCCTCAGACCCTCTCTTTCCAGCTTCCTCTTCCTTTGCCTCTCCTCCCAGGATTCCTGGGCCCCTCCTCCCAGCCTCAACCCTTCCCCTTCATCCTAGGCCCCACCCCTTTCATCTCTGACCTGGCCATTACCTGCTGCCAACTCACCTGTCACCTCCAGGGTCACCAGGTCCTGCTCATCCTCGATACCCCCCACCACTTGGCAGCGATACAGCCCAGAGTCACTGGCCCGAAGTGGCCCCAAGAGAAGCGTAGCATTGGTTCTGTGCCGGGGATAAGCGGGCAGTGACACCCGCCCCTGCCAGCCCTTGGCCACACGCACCACATTGTCCTTGGCCACCAAGATGGGCAAATCCTGTCGCTGGCCTGATGCAGTGCGAACCTTGGTCCACTTGATTCGAGGAATGTCTCGAAGGGTGCCTAGCAATGGCTGCCAGGAAAAGAGGCAGGGCAGGGCCACCAGCTCCGCCAGGGCAGCGCGGATGGGTCCTGACCCCGACTTCAGCATGTGAAGCCCCTTTTCGGTGGTGATGGTGTCCTGTGTGTCTGGGATGGAAAGAGGACCTGAATCAGAGGCAGGGGCCAGCAGGACACTAGCATTTCTTGTTTTAGCGGATTGTTTTCTCTTTTTCTTTCACTAACTCTTTGTTTTGCTTTCTGAGACAGTGTCTCACTATGTAGACCTGGAACTCACCACATAGACCAGGCTGGCTCACACTCAGAGATTCTCCTGCCTCTGCCTCCCTAGTGTGGGATTAAAGGCGTGCACTACACTCAGCTACACTAACACTTTACAGAGAGATGGAGGCCAGAGAGGCCAGGCTGTCCGCACAGTGTCACAGTGCAAAAAGGGACTGCTGGGCCAGACCGCTCATGATTCTGTCTCTCTCGGTGGCATTCCAAAGGCTGCTTAGATGGGCGAGCTATGGCTGTCACTATCTCTGGCTTGCTGTGTGGCCCTGGGAAAACCCCTTTCCTTCTCGAAGCCTCGGAAGCCAAGCCAGAGGCAGACACTGGCAGCTGTGTTTGTTCCTTTCCTTTTCTCTCCTGGTTTCAGACATGGTCAGCTGTAGCACAGGCTGTCCTCAAACTTGCTATATAGCCCAGGATGACCTTGCGCTTCTCATCTTCCTGTTCTATTGGCCAAATGCTTGGGATTACAGAGGTGTGCCACTGTGTCGGGTGAGCGAAGTCGCCACTGAATACCCACAACCGTCCTCAGTGGTAAAGGCTTGTCTTCTTTTAGGGACCTTAGGGAACTGAAGATCAGAGAAACAAATATTCTTGCCTAGGGCCACAGAGAAACTCGGTAAGGGATTCATAAAGTCTGGAATTGACCACCATGGGGGAGATTCCAGGGGCGGCACGGAGATCTCCCGTCCCTTGTCCGCCCGTGGCAGACCTCAGTAGCCAAGCCCTGTGCTGCTGGCCCTCTCCCCACCTTTCTTTTTCAGATCATTTCAGCAAAAGACAGTGAGAGGCGGGAACCTCCAGCCTCTGCTGGTTATAACTAAAAATAACCTCTCAGGTACCTTGTTTCCCTTTGACTGTTCAAAGACTGGTCCCAGCTATTCTTGTTTTATTTTGCAGACCCAGCTAGAGGACCAGCAGGAGAAGGCTCTGGAATGAAAAGGCCTCATCCCATCCCGCTGACCCATGGTTGACAGCAGAGTGACAGGATTCCCACCCCCAGCCCCGTAGGCCCCACTCACCCTGATCCCCAGCCACCAGGAGCAGCAGCCTCAGCACCAGGAGGCCTGAGGCCCAGACAGATGTGGCCCCCATACTGGAGCTAGGAGCAGAGGAGAGGGAGGAAGGGTGAGTCATGGCACAGACCCCCTCCCCCAACCCCGAACATGGAGGAACCAGATGGCCCCAGCAAGAATTAGGAACCAGAACTCAGAAAGGCCAGCATGTCAGTGAAGGTCACAGAGCAAGGAAAGCAGGGGCCATGCAGGATTTGAACCCAGAGCATCTCACTTCAGAATCCAAGCAGTGAGGCAGAGTGCAGCTTAGTGGTGGGACACCTGCTGAGCTCGCGGGCCTGGGTTCTGGCCCAGCACCCTCCAGGCTTACACAGCCTTGGGTTCTCTTCCCAGTCCTTGCCACACTCCTGTGGGGACCCCACTTCTAGCCCCTGGCCCTGAGGCTGGGGCTTGAGTCCTGCATATCACTCCATGCTGGGTTTGGTGGCTCACACAATCTCACATCTCAGCCCTGGAGGGTGGAGACAGAATCTGCACAGGTTTAGGTCAGCGTGATCAGCACATCAAGTTCTATGACACTGCCTCTTCCTTGCTGTGTGACTTTAGCAAGGAGCTTAGCTTCTTTCTGCCTCCCTTTCCTTATGGGTCAGATGAGGATAAGAGCTGCAGGGAGGGGTGAGTCAATTTATACACAGTGTTTCCAGCAACTCTCTTGAAGGAGAACATCTTAGTGCGGCTAATATTATCATTAAACTTCACACTGCCAAGTCTGAAATCCTGTTTTTCAAGCGAGCTTCCACCACTAGATTGGGAGCTCCTAAGGGAAGCAGTGGGTCCTTATCCTTTTGGGGGTCCCCAGGCCCTTCCCCAGCTGACTGTTTACAACCCACAGAAGTAGCTTCCTCTGCCCTGGGGCCATCCTCTCCAGAGGGCCTGTGTCCCATCCGGTATATGGTAGGCAATTATTAAATGCCTGTGAGTGACTTCTACCTCGGGTGCCTAAAATAAATCCATTCCCCAGAGATTCTTCAACAAAACTTTGGCCTTCTCTCAACTTAGGCCCCTCACAGGGGACTGGAGAGGGTAAGTCACAGGGCCACTTGCAAACCCGCTCTTCAGCCTATCAAAGAAGAGCAGGCCCGTGTGGGTGGGGTCTCCAGAGGCCTTGAAGAGCTCAACTTCCTTCTGCTCTCCCTGTTTCTCCAGGCACCAGCCCATATGCCTGCCGTGGACCTGTCCTTGGTGCTGAACCCTGAGCCTGGCCTGCCTGAGCACCCAGAGAAGGCTAGCTCTTTGTTTTGGAGTGCACAGCAGAGCACAGGCTACCAACTTGCAAATGTCTACAACCTCTAACTTCAACCTAGGCCATCCCCATTCTTCCCCTGAACCCTAAGCCAATGTGAAGTACGCTAATGGCTGAAGTCACCCCATCAGGATTTTAGGAGAGATCAAGGCCAGAAAATGTGTGTTCTCTCATTCTCTCTCTTTTTCTCCCCAGCCTTCTCCACACAATTGAGTTCACATGGGTGTGGTGGCCAAAGACTGTCATCCCAGCACTTGGAAGGTGGAGGCAGGAGGATCAAGGATTTGAGGCTACCCTGAACTTCATTTTGAATTTAAAGTCAACCTGACTACATGAGACCCAGTCTCAAAAAAAAAAAAAAGAATCCATCTGGGTGTGGTGGCACATGCCTTTAATCTCAACACTCAGGAGACAAAGGCAGGTGGATCTCTGAGTTCGAGGCCAGCCCAGTCTACAGAGTGAGTTTCAGGATAGCCAAGGCTACAGAGAGAAACCCTGTCTCAAAAACAACCCCCAAAAGAATCCATGTCACATTCTACCTACTGAACCTCCATGCAACTCTGCACCAGGGGTCTTATTCCCCCATACCTCAGTTTCCCCACCTGTAAAATAAGCCTCATCCAGTCCAAACCCTCTGAAGTTACCTGGAAGGAGTGGGCTAAGACTTGTAAAAATACATCAAATGTAAGAACAGCTCTTTGTACACAAAACCTTGGGAACACCCTAAAAATACCCCAAGGTAGCCCAACACAGTGATAGACACAATGTCAGCCTCATGTTCCTCCTTAACGCCGTCTCTCTCCCTTCCCCTCACACCCTCACACACCCACAATCTTCTCTTAAAATACTTCCTCCCCTGGGCCGCCAGAGGTAAGTGGCAGCATTTGGGCTGAGGTCTGGGCCCACCCCCTCATGAATGATGCATTAGCCTCATGTATATGCAAGCAGGGGCCTGCAGAGGAAAGGGGAGACACATTCAAGTGTATGTGTGCATGCGTTCGTGTGCGTGTTCGTGTGTGTGTGTGTGTGTGTGTGTGTGTGTGTGTGTGTGTGTGTCCCATTCCCACCCACCCTGTCTCTTGTCTCTCCACCGAGTTGGAGCTGGGCACTTACCATCTAGTGTCACTGGGTGTGCGACTGCATCTGTGGTGCTGTGTCTGGGCAAGGGTATACCTGTCTGCACCCTATGGTGTGGGGACATCAGTTACATGAGCTTCAGGAGGATTTCTGGTCCTGAGCAAAGGCCACACACATTCACACACACGCACTTGCAGACACTGTGGATTCCTGGCCTGAGACTCACACTGGATTTGTGCGCACAGGCATGAATATGGAATGCTGTGTAGGAAAAGAGAAGCCAAGCTGGAGATCCCCACCCCTCCCACTGTAACTCCTCAGCCTTGCACCCCCATGCTCTGGGTCACCTGTTCCTATTCACAAAACACACCCCAGACATACACCCCAGGAGAGACACACGCGGCGACTTCCAGGGACACTAACAAAGAGAACCCTTGCAGGCGCTCACTGGGTAGGCTGTGCGGCCTCTACACAAAGACACCCACAGTCTGGAGCCCTCTGCTGAAGCCCCCAATGATCAACCACCAGGTCTGGCTCCTCCCACAGGCTGCCACACCAGCCCTGAGTACAGACTGGGATGCATGTGGCCTTGGTGTCCGATGCATGGCCACTGGTAATGTGGTCCCCATCACAGTTTTGAAACAAAAGACACTAACTGCAGTTGTATCAGGCACAGGAGACCCCAGGTCCCCTGATTATGCCTCTCCTCGTGGCATGTTGACACACAAAGACCCCCACAAAAGGGGTGGGAACCTTCCCTATTTCCCTGTGGGGATGTTCAGGGGCCACTGAGACTGCCAGGATCTGGGGTGGCACAGTGCATGCATTCATCCCATCCCAACAAGCCCAGCTTGGGACGTCGCCCACCTTGGCCTGCCTCAGCCTGGCTTCATCCCAGACACTTAGAATGAACAAAGCCACACTGTGGTATGTGGATGGGGGTCACTCGAATACCTCATTGCCAGGTGCCCTCCCTCCTAGCACCTAGACCCAAACAGTTTAAAAAATGCACCATAGAGACAGACTGGGGGTGAAACACCGGTGTGGAGGGCTGAGATGATGTGGAGATGTGCAACATCTGGGGGTTCCCTGTCTCCCCGCAGGGTCCATCCAGGTCCTGGACATCCATATGGGGGTAGATCAGAACCCACATCCAGCATTAGCATGCTCGCTGGAAAAAGGGACTGTACCCCAACTCCACATCTGTTAGAAAAACAGGGCCCCCTTAGGATGGGGCAGCCTGAGCCCAGGATGCAGTTAGATGACAGAGACCTGTCTGGCTTCCCTTCCCAGAGACCTAGGCTCATCTGCAGACACTCTTGAATTGGGGCTCCCGCCCCACCGCAGCCCTCCATTCACTTGTAAATTGGAGGTCCCCACTTCAAATTCCCGCGGTGTCTCAGCTAAAACACCGGGGTACCCAGTCCCAAGGTTCCCTGGGTTATGTCCAGGATGCCCTTGTCTTTCTTCCAAACTCGGGGTGCCCCTCCCCTAGCCCTAGCTCCCGGCGCCTCCTGCTTGATCCAGAGAACTATCCGCGGCCAGGGACCCTCCCCACCGGGAAGGGAATATCTTTTCATTCAAGACTCCCTTCCGTTCCCAACACCCCTACGACCGCCCCTCATGTGCTTGGCCCCCCCAAACTGATCCCCTCCCCCACCTCCCCCTGCCCAGCCCCATCCGGGAGGGGGGCTTCGCCTTCATCCTGGTCAGTCCTCCCCAAGTCCGAAACCTTGTTGCCCCCCTCTCTGCGGGCCCCCCACACCTGGCTCCTTAGCGCGGACACATCCCCACGGCCCTGGCACAAAGGACGCGCGGCCGGTCCCGGTGCTTCTCCAGCCCCTGCGCCGGGTGCTCAGCAAGTCAGGCTCAGCCTCCTTGCTTATAAAGGACCACGAGGATGCTGTGCGCAGGCGCAGCCAGGCCCCCAGCTGCGCTGGGCGGGGCGGGGGTGGGATCGGGGGGTCGGGGGTGGTATGGGGGGGGGGTGGCGCCCAGCCTGAGATTCCTTTCACATCTCTCTCTGACACAGCCCAGGGCCAGGCTTCGCCAGACTCCGCCCCACTTACTGTTGCCCCCTTAGGAACCCCACTAAATGCCCCCCATGCCTCCTGCGGCCGCCTGCTCCAATTCACAGGTGGGGAAACAGCCTCGGGGAGGTGAGAGTGCTTGCTAAGGCCACGCAGAGGGAAAGGGCAGAGCAGAGATTCGAACCGACTGTCCAAGACTCCGAGGACGGTTCCCAGAGCAGAGGTGGGCGGAGGAGGCGCTGGGTCACCCGGAGATAAGGCAGTGGGAGTTTTTGCTGCCAAACCTGAGGCTCTGCATTCGATCCTTGGGACCTGCAGGGTGGAAGGAGAAGTGACTGCACCCACACAGGGGAAAGGGACAGTGAACTGCAGACCTGCTCCAGCACCCCCTCACTGGCTCACTCGCCATCCCTCGCTCACTCACCATCACTCACTCACTCACTCACCATCCCTCACTCACTCACTCACCATCCCTCACTCACTCACTCACCATCCCTCACTCACCATCCCTCACTTGGTTCTATCATTTTAAGGGTGCACACCAGGGCCATGTGTTTAGGGTACTCCTACTTTGGGCAGGAGTATATGTACAGCCTTGACTGGAACCCTTGATTTTAGGGGCTGGGGATGTGCCTCAGTTGGTAGGTAGGATGCTTGCTTAGCGTGCGGGAAACCTTGGGTTGGATCCCCAGCATCTCATAAACCAGGCATGGCATGTCGGTGCACACCTGTACTCTTAGCACTTAGGAGTTCCAGGTTCATCCCCAGTTACATACGAGATCTCCATCAGCCTGGGCTACAGAAGACAGGGCTGGGTCTGGGGAGAGGGGGAGCCTCAGGATGGCTCAGTGGGCGACGTGCTTGCTTCACAAGCCCGAGTCCCCTGGGACCCATGTAGAAGTCATGTGCAGTGTCATTGTGTCATTCCTATAACCCCAGTGCAGAGGACAGAGACAGGTGGAGCCCTGTGTCTGTCTGTCTGTCTGTCTGTCTCTCTCTCTCTCTCTCTGTTTAGGACAGGGTTTCTCTGTGTAGCCCTGATTGGCCTGGAACTCACTCTGTAGACCAGGCTGGCCTCAAACTCAGAGTTCAGCCTGCCTCTGCCTCCAAGTGCTGGGACCAAAGGCGCGTTCCTCCACTGCCCAGTCCAGAGTCCTACGTCCAGCTGGTCTAGCCAAAATGATGAGCGTGTCTCAAAAACAAGTGAATGGATAAACAAATAAATTGGAGAGAAATAGAGTGAGACATTCCATGTCAACCTGTGACCTCCACACTCACATGTACAGGGGTACACCCCTGAGCACACACACACACACACACACACACACACACACACACACACACACACAGGTATTTGCTCTGCCCCATAGATTGTAGATCTCACTCAGACAAGGTGGCACACACCAGTGATACCAGCACTCACCAGGTTGAGGCAGGGGATCCTGATTTCACAGTTATCCTGGACTACAGAACTGCCTCTCCAAAGGAACCAGAATAAATCTAGATCTCCACAGTGGAATGTCACGTAGCCATGAAAAATTCTGCACACAACAGGGATAAACCTGGAACGAAGAGACTGCATTGACAGGGACAGGCAGGCACTAAAGGCTGCATCATGTTTGGTCCCAGGACAGTCCAGCCCACGGAAACAGGAAACAGATCAGGGCTGTGAATGACTGCTTGTGGGGAAGGGGTTTTCTCTCAAGGAGGGAAAATTGTGAGCTTGAGAAGAGACAGCTGTCTTCAAATAATATAAACATCCTTAAACCCACCTCGCTGCAGGATTACTAATCCGCTGACCTCAGGGCTTTGTTTGTTTGCTTGCTGTGCATTGCTTGATTGAGACAGGGGCTTACCCTGTAATCCTGGCTGGTATGAACTGGCAAGGATGTAGCCTAGGCTAGACTTGAACTTCAAATGACCCTCCTGTCTCTGCTTCCAGAACAATGGGTACAATGTTACCAACATACCCAGCCTTGTTATTGTTTTGTTGTTGTTCACAGATTTACTTCTATTTACCTTGAAGGGTGTGTCTCTGCGCGTGAGAGGTCAGAAGGAATCAGAGCCCCAGAAGCTAGCAGAATAAACAGTTTTGACCTGCTGTACAAGGGCACTGGGAACCAGACTTGAGTCCTCTGCAAGAGCAGCAAATGCTCTTAACTACCTATGTCTCAGCACCTGCCACATCCTTTAAAAAACAATGGAGGATCTCATGTATTCCAGCCTGGAACTTGCTATGTAACGAGACTGGCCTCTAACTCCCTGTGTATCCAAAGATGACTTTGAATTCCTGGTCCTCTGGCTTCACCTCCCAAATGCTGGGATTGCCCGTGCATGCTCCACCATGGCTGGGGTATGTGGTGCTGGGGACAGAACCTGGGGCTTGTGCATGCTAGGCAATAACTCTATCCACAGAGCCCTGATCCCAGCCCTACACACACACACACACACACACACACACACACACACACACACACACAAGGTTGGTTTTTGTTTTTGTTTTGGGGGGTGTTTCAAGGCAGTTTCTTTTGTTGTTGTTGTTTTTTCAAGACAGAGTTTTTCTGTGTAGCCCTGGCTGTCCTGGAACTCACTCTGTACAGGCTGGCCTTGAACTCATAGATCCACCTGCCTCTGCCTCCTGAGTGCTGAATTAAAGGCGTGTGCCACCACCACCCAGCAAAAAGTTCTTTTAAAATAATGAAATAAAATTAAAACAGTGGACAATTTTGGACTAAGATGGTGACCCAGAAGGTAAAGGCACTGAGCCTGATGACCTGAGTCCTGCAGGTTGTCCTCTGACCTCCACATTCACACTATGGCACACGTGCACCCCCTCCAGTAAATAACAATATTGCCTAACCAATGAACATGGCCCTGGGTACAGTATGTGCTTTGCACGCACTGTGATGTGGTCAGTCCCCGCTGGAGAGCCTCCACACTGGTCTGGTAGCTGTAACAAAATCCCTCAGAAAACTAATGTAAAGACAGCATATTCAGAAGGGGGACCTTCCCACCCAGTCAACTAATCTAGATAGTCCCACATGTCCAAAAGTTTGTTTCCAGGGCTGGAGAGTTGGCTCAGCCGTTAAGAGCACAGGCTGCTCTTCAGAGGATCCGGGTTCAGTTCCCAGAACCAACATGGCAGCTCGAAACTGTCTGTAACTCCAGTTCCAGGAGATCTGGCATCCTCACACAAACATATATGCAGGCAAAACACCACTGCACATAAAATTAAATAAATACATTATTTTAAAAAACAAACAAACAAAAGTTTGTTTCCTTAGGGAAACATTTTCTTAGTGAGATCCTATCAAGTTGACAATCAAATCAAGATGAACCATCCCCTCTCTCCCCTCGTCCCCCCATGCCACCCCATCAGAGCAAATTACATGCTTTCTGAATTTATCACCATGAAGACTGGGTGTGATGGCTGGCAACTGTCATCCTAGTGCTTAAGATGCTTCAGGAGGAGAATTGTCACCGGTTTTAGGACACCCTGGGCTACACAGTAATTTTTGGGTTAGACTCAGCTAAAGTAAGAATCAATCTTAAACAAACAACAGCAAGAAGAAAAAGTTATGCAGGGCAGTAGCAACGGAACACACCTTTAATCCCAGCACTTGGGAGGCAGACGCAGGTGGATCTCTGAGTTCGAGACTAGCCTGGTCTACAGAGTGAGTTCCAGAACACTCAGGGATACACAGAGAAACCCTGTCTAGGAAAACAAAACAAACAAACAAAAAAGATGTTCTGAATGAATGAGGGGAAAGATCTGCTGTTTTTACCACTCATAACGGTGCAACTCTGAACCAGCCACCTCATCCTCCCGTGCCTCAGTTTACCCCTCTCAATGAAGAGTATGAGTACTCTGCATATATTGCTAGAATGCAACAGGAAGTGTGTGTGTGTGTGTGTGTGTTGTATTGTGTGTGTGTGTGTGAGCATGAATGCGTTCGTGCATTACTGTTTTGCATTTTTGAGACCAAGTGTCAGCCCAGGCTAGCCTGCAGTTCATTTTAAGCAGCTAAGGATGACCTTGGTCCCTAAGAATAACCTTGGTCCCTGAGGATGTTGGTCCCTGAGGATGACCTTGGTCCACTGAGGATGTTGGTCCCTGAGGATGACCTTGGTCCACTGAGGATAACCTTGGTCCACTGAGTATACTTGGTCCACTGAGGATAATTTTGGTCCCTGAGGATGTTGGTCCCTGAGGATAACCTTGGTCCACTGAGGATAATCTTGGTCCTCTGATTCTCCTGCCTCAGCCCCTGGATGCTAGGATGAAGTGTGCTTTACCACACCCAGGGCTACCATCCTACTGTTGCTCATTTGGAATTTGCTGGGGGAAACTGAGGCTCAGGGAGATGAGATGCCCTGTCTAAAGTTGCACAGACCTTGTCTGCAGCCCCAGAGCCGAGCTGACCCTCCAGCTTCGCACCAAACCCATTCCTGGGCTGGTGCCAGGGCTGAAAAGAGAGGACTGGCCCAGTGCCCAGACCTGCTGTTGCCGGGGTCTTGAGTGAGGGAACCTTGCCTGGGAATCTGTAAGGCTCAAAGAGCTATTTATAGGCCCACTCTGGGATCCAGAAAGTCCCTACCTTCAGCCTGGAAGGTCTTTTCTGTCTCAAGCACCCTGGGACTGCCATCAGGGGATGAGGTAAGGGGGGCAGTGGGGATGAATGGCCCAAAGGCCACATGGGTGGCAGGAAGCTCCTGGACAGCCAGGTCTTGGGGCAATATCCCTCTAGCTGTCCATGGTCACATGTAGGCAGTTACACACAATGCCACCAACCACCTGAGAAGGACTGGGATTTTAAGGCTATTTTTGACTGCATAATGAATTTGAGGCCAGCAACTCTGTCACAAAAAAAAAAAAGAAAGAAAGAAAGAAAGAAAGAAAGAAAGAAAGAAAGAAAGAAAGAAAGAAAGAAAAGGAAAGAAAGAAAAAGAAAACTAGGCATAGTGGAGCACTCCTTTAATCCAAACACATGGGAGGCAGAGGCAGGCAGATCTCTGAGAGTTCTAAGCCAGCCTGGTCTACAGAGTGAGTTACAGGACAGACAGAGCTACACAGTGAGACCCTGTCTTGAAACAAACAAACAAACAGGAAAAAAAAATGGAGAGAGAATGAATAGAGAGATCCGGTCCTTATGGCACCGTCCCTGCCCCAGGGCCTGTAGGGCGGTGGGAAGGAGGCAGCACTCAGGCTCCCTTACTTAGGCGGATGAATGGACCGCGTTGGCTGCCTCACTGGGAACTCAGCACTACTAATTCCCTGGTGGAACAGGAGGCTCTTTCATGCCCAGGCGCCAGTGGGGTGAGGAGGCGGGAAGAGGGTAGGGAGCTGGCCATGTCCCAGGGGCCAGGCAGCCTCATGCCAGAGCCAGGAGCGATATAGGAAGGATCCGGCTGGGATTGTATGCAACCTCTTCAGGCACTACGGCCACGTTTTTTTGCATTCAGTGCCATAGAAGTGATACCAGACAGCCACAGGCAGGATAATGATGAGCCTGTGCCTGGAGACAGACCTTGTCTATGAGTCCCAGTGTTTCATATTATTGTTACTAGGCGTCAACCCAAACAGCCTACTTTCACTGACAGGAAGCTGAGCTCAGAGGTCAAATGTTTGTCTGAGATCACACAGCCAAGCTTTTAACTACACACGCTCCCTCCATAGCCCTTGGAGGACTGCTAAGCTAGGTCTGGATGGGACCCATAACTGAAGTTCTGGCAAGGAAGTTCTGGCATTTACAGGCTAGCAGGGCAGCTCTCCGGATGGTGACCCAGTTACCCTGCCAGCCCCGCTTCCTGGGGTGGGCTTGGGGAGACACTAGTGGATGCCTTGGGAACCCTTCTGGCCCTAGTAGAAAGAGGAAAAGATCTAAGACCATTCAACCCCAGGGACTGCTCTAGCTTGGGAGTCTTAATTCAGAGAGGTGGGGGTCCGACCCTCTCCCCAAAGCTGCTCCAGCTCAGTAGTCGTTGGCTCCACAGGTCTGTCACCTGAGTCTATGCCTTTACTTTTCCAATCCCTGGCCTGGAACTCATTCCCACTATGTGTTCCCTCCCAGAAAGCCCTTCCTTCAGGGCTTCCTCAGCCTGTTTGTCCTTGTGGTTCATCCCTGAACCCACGAGGTTTGTGGTGTCTGAGTCTGGTTTTGTTTTGTTCCCACTAGGATAAACTGTTCATCCTTACAAAACCCACCTATGCTGATTCTCTGAACAAGCCTTCCATAACAGGCTAGGCCACCATTTGCTGAGACTTACCACTTCATTTGGTGCTGGCGATGGAACTAACTCCCACCTAGCACTTTCTGGTAGCCTTCTATCACTGAACCACATCCTTAGCTGAGGACATGGCCAAGCTTGATGACTCAAGCTCAGTCCCCAGGATCCATGTGGTGTAAGGAGAAAACCAATTCCTAACACGTTGTGCTCTGACTTATACAAATACATGTAATAAAAAAATTTAGGGGCTGGAGAGTGGTTAAGAGCACTTTACTCTTGCAGAGGACCCACGTTCAGTTCCCAGCACCCACACTGGAAGATCTGATGTCCTCTTCTAGATGGAGAGGTACCAGACACACATGGTATATGAACATTCAAGAAAAACTCATTACACAGTAAATAAAATGGTTTTTTGTTGTTGTTGTTTTGTTTTTTGAGACAGGGTTTCTTTGTATAACCCTGGATTTCCTGGCACTCTTCTGTAGATCAAGCTGGCCTCAAAATCACAGATTTGCCTGCCTCTGCCTCCTGAGCCTGGGATTAAAGGTGTGCACCACCGTCGCCCAGCAATAAAATGTTTTTAATTAAAAAAATATATTTAAATCCCAGAGCAGGGTGTAGTGGTGCATGCCTTTAATTCCAGGGCTCAGTAGGCAGAGGCAGGAGGATTTCTGGGAGTTCCAGGCAGCCAAGTCTACACAACGAGATCCTGTCTCAAAAAGCACATTAAGGGCTTAAGAGTTGGCTCCGTGGTTAAGAACACTTGTTCTTTCCAAGGACTGGGGTTCGATTCTCAGCACCCACATGGAGTCTCATTCAAACACCAGGCTGTGCAAATGGTACACAGGCACACATGCAGACAAAGCCCTCATACACACAAGATAAATTAAGGAATATATTATATACCAAAAAAAATTTTTGAGACATCTTGCTGAATTGTCCATGTTGGCATGAAACATGCAATCCTCCTGCTTAGCCTCCCGAGGGACGGCAGGCGCCCACCAAACCCTGCTGGGGAAGCTGGATTGCATCCGCGGCGAGGGAGGCCCTCCGCAGGAGACACGATCACAAGACGGCTGTGTGAGAACGTTTTGTATCCGGCAGGGGGACTGCCTGCGTTTTCCCTCCAGCTCCACGGAATGAGAAACCTCGGGGTGCGGGCTCTTTAAGAGGCGAAGCGAAGTCGCCACAAACCCCGCCCCAGCACCTCGGGGGTGGGGGTAGGGGTGGTCCTGGCTACACTGCGCGTGCGCTGTCCGCACGCGGTTCCGGGTCTTGGTGTGGGGTTCGCAGATCTGCGGAAAGACTTGGGCTAGGTTGTAAAGTTTAGGCAGCTGCTTCTGTCTCTCTCCGGTTCCCGGATCACCCGCCTTGTCACCTGGGTCAAGTGGGGAGTGGCAGCGCCGGAGTTCGAACTCGCGCTGAGCTCTGGGCAAGGCGTCGCAGAGCCGAGATGAGCCAGTCTTTGGTTTGCCCCGAGACCGTGAGCAGGTGAGACTCAAGGACTGTGGGACTCGGGGCGGATGAACTGGGAGCTGAGCAGTGGTGGTGAGGCCAGGTGAGATCTAGGGTCCCGACCTGGTGTCGGGTAGGGGCAGGCTGGGGGCGGAGCCAGGCGGCCGTGTCCCTGGCGGGGGCGAGGACTGGTGGTCTTGTTCCAGACTGGTGGTGGCGGAGTTCTTGCGGGAGGGGCTGGCTGGCCTGGAGGGTGGCTCACAGTCGTGCCGAGGCCCCTAGCCCTGCTCCTGTCCTGCAGGGTGAGTTCTGTGCTTCATCGCAACAGCCGGCAGTTTGGGAAGAAACATCTTTTTGACCAGGATGAGGAGACGTGCTGGAACTCTGACCAGGTGAGGCGCTACCACGCCCCTCCATTCCGAGTGTGAAGCACATTCGGGGTGCAGGGTGCCTTGAGAAATTTGGGGAGAACTAGAAATGACTGCGCGCTCACTCTCCCTGGACTGGCTGTGGCCGTGGGACTTGACAGGTGAGCAGAGCATAATAGGCCCTTACCCTGCGGTTACCAAGTACCCATCTGCTTCCAGGGCCCCTCCCAGTGGGTGACACTCGAGTTTCCCCAGCGTGTTCACGTCACACAGCTGCAGGTGCAGTTCCAGGGCGGCTTCTCCAGTCGCCACAGCTGCTTGGAAGGTACTGGAAGGTCGTGAGAGGTGGGTGTCAAAGGGGTTCCCTGGATTCTCAGCTTGTCTTTCTCCACTGCAGGTTCAAAGGGCGGGGGCACCCTCAGCAAGATTGTGGACCTCTACCCTGAGGACAGCAACGCTCTTCAAATATCCTGCTTGGCCTGGGGTCTGAGGGATATGGTTGGCTCTGGAGGGTGTGGTGGTACAGGCACTGGAGAAGCTGAGGTGAAGGATCTAAAACGTTAGGCCAGCCTGGCCACGTAATACTGTCTCCAAAGAATTAAAGCTTTGGTCTCCTACACCTGAGCAGGAGCTATTACATGGAGCTTTAGTGCTCCGGAGGTATAAGTAGGAGGGTCAGGAGTTCAAGGTCATCCTCAGGTGTACAGTGAGTTTGAGGCCATCCCATGTATCAAAAAAATAAGGTGGCCGGGCAGTGGTGGGGCACACCTTTAATCCCAGCACTCGGGAGGCAGAGGCAGGCGGATCTCTGTGAGTTCAAGGCCAGCCTGGTCTACAGAGTGAGTTCCAAGACAGCCAGAGCTACACAGTAAAGCCCTGTGGGGGTGGGGGTGGGGGGGCAGAAGGTGCTGTTGATTTCTTGCTGGGTATGAGAGGCACCAAGAAAGGGTCTGTAGTCCATTGGGTGGCGTCTGAACTGGGAAGGTGGCCTGGTCGGTCAGAAACAAAGTCACCATTTCCTTGACTGCGAGAGGCCACACCTTCTCCATCCCCACTGTAGAGGTGGATCGACTGAAGTTGACCTTTGAGGACACCACCGACTTTTTTGGCCGTGTGGTCATCTACCACCTGCGGGTGCTGGGTGAGAAAGCAGTGTGAGAGCTATTGGCGGCCACCTCCTCCAGGAAGCCCCCCTGGGAGGCACCTGGAAGCCCTTCAAGATCTCCACAGATTTATTGGTTCTTGTTGGGGAAGGCCCCTTTCCCACCACTGTTCAGGAGCTGCCTCAAGCCAGTTGTGGGCAGACTGGTTTGTTCCCTGAGTGCCTGGGTTCCCAACAGGCCGTCTTCACTCGGGGTCAGCAGGCCCGAGGGTACTCTGGAACAGTTTGAGGATGTGGCTCTCCATCACCTGTTGCACTGTGGGAGGAGGTATGAGTAGGGCAGGGGCCTGGAGAGGCTGCTCAGGAGGCCATGAGCAGGGGTGAAGGAGACCCCGGAGGGGCTCAGCCCAGAGGCTGGGACCCTTCACAAGTGGTCTCTGCTCCAGCTGGGCAGGGTGGGGCAGAGCTCCCTGGAGAATCGGCTGTTTTAAGACAAGGCCTCCCGGCTTCTCTCGACTTCCTGCTTCACACCCACTCCTGCTCTTGCTCCCCACTCAGTCAGAGCAATACCAGACCCTCAGTCAGTGTGGCCACACAACTGTAGCTCTCCCACCTCCAGAACCATGAGTCTAAATAAAACTTTCTATCTTGTATTCTGTTATAGCCGCAGAAATAGATAGAAGTTTGGGGTGGCCTCAGTGAAGTGCTCCACCCCAGCACCATGTGTCACCATGCGTGCCTGTAGCAGGGAAGACTAAGATCTAAACCTACCCTGGAGCTAAGCTGGGGCTATTGGTATCTGCGTGTCTGTGTACCCCAGGGTGGCTTCCATCCCTGTCAGGCACTGGTGTCCCTACCACAGCCCAAGTGCCAAGAGCCAGGATGAGGAGGTACCTGGGTGTTAAAGGGCATCATCTAGCACCTTTCGGGGAGCATCCTGTGTACCCCTCTGTGACCACCCCACACACGGTCCACCCCAGGATCTCAAGCCCACCTTTGCGGTATCCCAGGGCCACGGCGAGGTCCATTGGGGTGTAGCCAGAGTCGGCCTCTGTGGTGAGGTCAGCACCCCGGGCTGCAAAGCAGAACAAGCACTGGGCACAGGGCTGCGTCTGAGAGTCGGGAGCCCCTGGCCGCAGGGCTTGGGGACTGCAGGGCTGAAATGACAACCCCCCCCATGGTACAGCTACAGGTCTGCAGTGACCTTGGGCAGTGGCCAGACCTCAGTGCCCCCCTACCCAAAGAACAGGACTTAGGATTTAGAGTCCCTGGGGGGCGGGGGGCTCAATGTGGCTGACTGGGTCGAACAGGAAAGCCCGCACACTCACTACTCTGCCTCTTCTTGTCTGCTTTCGGAGTCCAGGATTCCCAAAGTGCCCAGTGATCTCCTACTCACCCAGTAAGGCCTCCACACACTTCACATGGTTCCCACGCACAGCGTAAAGTAGTGGTGTCCCCCCGTTCTGTGGGATAAGACTAGGTGAAAACCATTGCCCCTGCCCTGGCTGCCAGTTCACCCCACTTGCTGTCTACCACATGGGCTCTCATGCTCTGTGTCTCTTCTTCTGACGCCCATTCTTCCAGGTAGCCCTCCCTGACTTCTCACGGCTTTGGGGCTCTTGCAGCTGCTGGTGAGCCTACCCTCACAGCTCTCTCTACTCATTCTCTTTGTGCATCTGTCTCCCAGATAATGGGAATTCTTACCAGCTGTGATAACAGTTGTCCTGCGTTCCCAGAACCCAGGGCAGGCCTAGCACCTCCCAGGGACTCCATCCATGTGGAGCAGGAATGGAAGCTTAGGAGGCTATGACAGATCCAGGTGGCAGTGCTCACCCAGTCATAGATGTTGATGTCCACGTCACGTTCAAGCAACAACCTCACAATGTCGGTGTAACCGCCCATGCTGGCAAGCGACAGGGCGCTCTCCCTCTCCTTGGCCAAGATGTGAGGGTCAGCACCCTAGGGAAGCAGAAATCTCAGGGTCCTCAAGTGGGGCAGCCCATCTCAAAGGCAGCAGCTTCAGAAGCTGAGAGCCCAGCCTGTCCCTGCGTCCCCAGGACATACCCAGTCTAGCAGGGAGCGAACTGTCTCAATTTCTCCAAAGGCTGAAGCCCAGATGAGGGGGGTGAAGCCACGTTCATCTGGTTTGTTGATCAGGTTGTCACCTGACAAGTGGGAGGGACATGGAGTGGGAGATGACTAAACTGTGCACTCTCATGAGTGGGGTGGGCAGGGTTCGGAGGTCACATAAGGGGAACATACACAAAACATACATGTACACACAAGCCACTCACACACAAGTTCCCCTACCAGACAGGCGTGTGCATGCACACAGAGGACACACGCACCCTTCCGCAGATGGTCCTTCAGTTGGCTCAGCTCCCCTTGGGCTGCAAGCTGGTGGATGGACAGAGCTAGGGCCAGAGACAGGCACAGTGTTCACCTACTCCATCCCCTCCCCAGGCCTCAGTTTACCCTGTTCAAAATTGTCCTCTTTGTTTTTTTTTTTTGAGAGGGTCTCGTAGCCCAGGCTGGCCTGCAACTTGCTATGTAGCCAAGGATGACCTGGAACTGCTGACCCTCCTGAGTGCTGAGGTGACAGGTATGTGCTACTATTCTCAGTTTATGAGGAGTTTGGGGTGAACTCAGAACTTGGTGCATGCTGGTGAGCAGACTACCAACTGAGCCACATTCCTCAATCCCTATGGCTTTTCTTTGTCTAGGCTGACCTCCAACTCAGTAAGTAGCCAGGGATGTCCTTAAACTTCTGACCCCCCTGCCTCCACCTCCCAAGTGCTGGGCCATCGGATGCCATGCCCCCACCCCACCCCTCCTAGAGTTCTACTTACAATCCAGGGTAGCTGGCAGCGCCGAGACCTCATTCCCACGCTGCCGGTTTGTGAGGGTTGTTGAGTGCTTCAAGAAGCTGCCTGCAGGGAGAGGAAGAGCCTGTTTCCCCAGTGTCTGCTTGTCTCAGGGTGTCCAGGCATATGCTGTGGGCTCCAAGCTTTCAAAGGCCACCCCTGTGATCTCCGTGTGCACACCCACATCCACACAGATGCTAACAGTAAATAAAATAACCTTTTTAAATGAAGGGCGAAGGGGCGGGGCCTAGTGGTGCAGGCTCACTTTCCCAGCTACTCAGGAGGCTGGGGCAGGTATCACAAGTCCCAGCAGCCTGGGCCACAGAATGAAACCCTATGTTAAAGAAATAGGAGGCTAGGCAGTGGTGGCACATGCCTTTGATCCCAGCACTCTAAGGGTTCTGAGTTCGAGTCTAGCCTGGTCTACAGAGTGAGTTCCAGGATAGCCAGGGCTACACAGAGAAACCCTGTCTCAAAAAACCAAAGCAAAGAAAGAGAAGGAGGGAAGGTAGAGGAAGAGAAGTGCTGTTGATCCAGGGCAGTGACAGCACTGGCCTAGTGTGTGAGGATGGGGCTGATTCCAGCACAAAACAACAAGAAAAGGGAGATGGGGGGTCATTCTTTGGTTAAGAGTGCTTGCTGCTCTTCCAAAGGACCTGAATTTGGTTCCTAGCACCCATGTTGTGTGAGTCACAACCACAACCTGTAGCGCCAGCCCCAGGGCACCCAATACTTCTGGCCTCTGTGGATAATATATACACTACACATATACATAATTAAAAATCAAAATTGGGTTAGAGAGATGGCTCAGTGGTGAAGAGCACTCTGTTCTTCCAGAGGACCAGATTTGGTTTATGGCACCCATATGTTCGCTCACAACCTACTGTAACTCCAGGTCCAGGGGACCTGACGCCTTCTTCTGGCCTCTGTGGGCACCTGGCATTCATGCTGCACAGACACACAAGCAGACAAAACACCCATACACATAATTTTTTTAAGTATAAATAAATCTTTTTGAAGACTATAAGTAAATAAAAATGAGAGATAAATAGCCAGGCGATGGTAGTACACACATTTAATCCCAGTACTCGGGAGGCAGAGGCAGACAGATCTCTGTGAGTTCGAGGCCAGCCTGGTCTACAGAGCGAGTTCCAGGACAGGTGCAAAGCTACACAGAGAAACCCTGTCTCGAGAAGGAAAAAAAAAAAAGAAATTCTGAGCTGGGTGGTGGTGGTGCACGCCTCTTGGGAAACAGAGGCAGGCGTATCTCTGTGAGTTCCAGGACAGCCAGGGCTACACAGAGAAACCAAAGAGAGAGGCCATAAAAAGGCCATAGAACAAATAGGTTTGAGGGGCACACCCCCATAATCCCAATCCTGGGGAGGTAGAGGCAGGAGGGAAATCCCAAGTTTGCGGTTATCCTGAGCTACACAGTGAAATCCTGCCACAGAAAAGAAGGAAGGAGAAAAGGCAGGTAAGTGTAGAAAACAGGACAGGCTGCGAGTCTGTCTGACAGGACGGTTAGAGCAGGTGGCTCTCAGGTGACTCCCACTCCACTCCCAAAGAGCTGGGAAGAGGTAGGGAAGGACACAGGTCCTGGTGGGACATCAAATTAGGTGTGTTTAGGGACAAGGAGGCCTGGGCTCAGGATGTTTCAAGTAAGGAAATAGAGAAGGGGAAGGGATGGACCAACTGTGTGTGTGTGTGTGTGTGTGTGTGTGTGTGTGTGTGTGTGTGTGTGTGTGCGCGCGCGCGCGCGCGCGCGCGCACGCGCACACGCACTCACATATAGAGGTCAGAGGTCAACCTCAGGTGTACTCTTCAGGAGCTGTCCACCTTGCCTTTTTTTTTTTTTGGTTTTTCAAGACAGGGTTTCTCTGTGTAGTTTTGCGCCTTTCCTGGATCTCACTCTGTAGCCCAGGCTGGCCTCGAACTCACAGAGATCCGCCTGCCTCTGCCTCCCGAGTGCTGGGATTAAAGGCGTGCGCCACCGCCGCCCGGTGCCACCTTGCCTTTTGAGACAGGCTTGAGGCTCACCATTTGGGCTAGGCTGGCTGTCCATCAGGTCCTGGGACCCTCCTGTCTCTGCCTCCTCAGAGATAGAACTGCAAGTGTGTTTTATCACACCAGCTTCTGCTCTGGCTGCTCGGGATTGAACTCAGGTCCCTGTGTTCACAGGGCAGCATTACCTGACCCAGTCATCCACGTGGGAGCCTTCCTGGCTTTTGAGACAAGGTCGTGTGTAGCCCAGGATCTCTCCATAGCTGAGGATAACCCTGAATTTCAAATCTTCCCGTTTCTACCTCTGAAGTTCTCAGACAGCCTAGTTCAAATGAAAACATGGTGCTGGAAGCAATACTATTCCCAACAGCACAGAAGAAACTGGGGGTGGGGGGGCAGAGAGCTGGCTCAGCAACTGAGAGTGCTAATTCTTAAAAAAGGACTGGGGTTCATTCAGCTCCCAGCACCCACACTGCCAGCTCACAGCCACCTCTAACTCCAGCTCTAGCGAGAGCCAGTATCTTCTGGTTTCTGTGGGCACCAGTGCATGCACACACACACACACACACACACACACACACAAATTTAAAAATAAAAAGAAACCACCCAAATGTTTGTGCATAGATAAAACAGGTCAACAAAATGTGGTCCGCCCACCCCTAGTATACTATGTGGTCATGAAGAGTAATGAAGAGCTAGCTGCCCCAGGCCACACTTGGTCAATCATGAGTTCAAGACGTTGGGCCACCCCCGGGACACATATCGACCAGAACAATGTGAACAGGCGATTACCGGAGACAGGAGGCAGATCAGTGTTGCCCCGGCCTGGGGGAGGGGAGTCTTCTCCTGCAGTGATGGAAATATTCTGGAACTAGATAGAAGTGATGGTGGCACAAGCTGGTGAGTGTGCCAAAGTTCACTAAACTGTACTGCAATTGTGTCCAAATAGTAAATGTATGTATTTTGCCACACTAAAGACATTTACAAAATGGCCAGGTGTGGTGGAGTACGCATTTGATCCAAGCATTTGATCCAAGCACTCAGGAGGCAGAGGCAGGTGGATCTCTGTGTTTGAGGCCAGTCTGGTCCATATGACAAGTTCCAAGACATCCAGGACTCTAAATAGAGAGGCTCTCTCTATATACATACATATATACACACATGCATATATATGTGCATACATATATGTGCACATATACATACAAATACACTAATTTTTTTTTGAAACATTCACTGTGTAACCCTGGCTGGCCTAGAACTCACTACATAGACCGATTGGCCTCAAAGTCACAGAGACCTGCCTGCTTCTGCCTCTAAAGTGCTGGGACTCACAGACTAGCAGGCCTAGCTGAATCAGTGAGTTTCAGGTTCAGTCAAAGACTCTGTCTTGAACATCAGGTGGCGGCCAGAATGATGGCTCAGCTGGTAAAGGCGCGTGTTGTGGGCTTGATGACCTGAGCTCTGTCCCTAGGACCCACGAGATACAAGAGAAAACCTATCCTGAAAAATTGCCTTCTATCCTCCACATACACACATGTTCATACATGTGCACAAACACACATGAAATAAATAAATGTAATGTAAAAATTTAGGGGCTGCAGAGATGTTTCTCTGGGGTTCAAGAGCCCCAGGTTTGATCGGCATCTGTGTTGGGGGAGGGTCTCCAATTGCAGTTCCAGGGTTCAGACACTCGCTTCTGGCTCCCTCAGGCACTGCATGCACATGGTGCAGATAGCACTCATACACATAAAACAAAACATTTAAAAATCCTTTACGGGGGCTGGAGAGATGGCTCAGCATTTAAGAACACTGCTCTTCCAGAGGTCCTGAGTTCAATCCCAGCAACCACATGGTGGTTCACAGCCATCTGTAATGAGATCTGGTGCCCTCTTCTGGCCTGCAGGGATACATGCAGGCAGAACACTGTACACATAATAAACAAATCTTTAAAAAAAAAAAAAAATCCTTTAGGGGCTGCAGAGATGGCTCAGTGCTTAAGAGCACACGGCAGCTCACGACTGTCTGTAACTACAGTTCCAGGGGACCCAACACCCTCACACAGGCAAAATAACAATATACAATAAATAAATAAAAAAAAACAAAAACCCTTTAAAACTTTTTTGTTTAGATATACTTATTTTATTTTATGTGTCTATTTTGCTTGCATGAATGTATGTGTACCATGTTTGTGTCTGATGTCCTCAAAGGCCAGAGGAATTCGTTGGATCTCTGGGGGTATTTGGGTTGAAGCTGGAGTTGTTAAGATGGTTATAAGCTGCCCTGTGGGTGCTGGGAATTGAACCCAGATCCTCCGGAAGAACAAGTGCTCTAAACAATTCAGCTATCTCTCTACCTATCTCACCACACTTTTTAAAGACAAGGTCTAAGTGACCATGACTGTCCTTGAATGTCCTGGAACTCCCTTGGAGCCCAGGCTGACCTTGAACTCACAGAGATGCCTAGTTCTGTCTCCTGAGAGCTGAGATTAAAGATGTGTGCCAACCATGCCTGGCAAATATTTTTAAAAATGAAATATTTTTTACAGACAAGGTATACAAGTCATTGAAGAATACAACATGTCAACATCTGGTCTCCATGCATGTGCACACATATGCACATGCAGTAGTGTGAACACATGCACACCTCAGGAACATGCACATACATCACACACACACACACACACACACACACACACACACACACACACACACACACTAAAATAAAAAAACTAATCTAGGAGGGTGGAGGGAAGAGTGGTCCCAAGTCCCCTGCCATGAGGGCAGAGAGTTCATGTGGAAGCTGACAGTTTCCCTCACCGAAACCCAGGTTCTCACCATGTAATGAGGATGCACTGGCATCTGCTTCAGGATTCACAGCCTCTGGGGTGCAGGGGAACAGACTGAGGACCACAGTATCTGAGCTGTCTGGGGATTCGTCTCTGGCGTCCTCAGGATCCTCAAGTTCAGGAGCAGGGGACTGCTGGTTTGGGATAAGGTTCTCTGCAAGCTGAGTGGGCTCCATGTGGGGAGCTAGAGGGAAGAGATGACAATAATTATCAAAAGCTCTTGGGTCCCCAAGATGGCTCAGCTTGACACCAGGCCAGATGACCTGAGTTTAATCTCAGGAACCCACATGGTGAGGGAAAGAACTGACTCTAGTAAGTTGTCCTCTGGCCTCCATAGCACATCCCACCCCCAAATAAAGGAATAAATTAGTTCTTATCAGAGGCTGGGACTTGGTTAGGTCCTGACAAGGTGGTGCACACCTTTAATGCCAGTACTCAGGAGCCAGAAGTAGGTAGATCCTTTGAGTTTGAGGCCAGCCTGGTCTACCTACTAAGTTCCAGGACAGCCAGGGCTATGTTAGAGAGACCCTATCTCAAACCCCCCCCCCCTTTGTGTGTGTGTATGTATATACATGCGCGTACACACACACACACACACACACACACACACACACTAGGCATGGTCTGCATACTCAGCCTTGTATAGTGAGAATGGGAAACTTAAGGCTTTGGATAATTGCTATTGCCAAGAAATTAACACCAGAATCCCAGGCACTTGCACCAGGCAATAAAATCGTAGTTCGGGCAGCAGTCTGTGTTCAAATCCCCTCACTTACAAGCTGTGAAAACCTGGGCTATGACTAAGCTGAACCTCAGTTTCTCCTCAATAAGGTGAAAAAACGAGGCCTCAGAGAGGTCATGTCAGAAAACAGCACAGAGAGATACTAACACTAAACGTACCAGCGTCCCTCTGTGGTTATTTGGGTCGGGGTCCTCCAAAATGACTTAGGGCTCTATAAACGATACGACACAAGAGGTCCACTCACCTCCCTCCAGCCTCCTCCGTCCCCCTACGCTGCAAGCCTGGGTATCCCAAAACTCGGGAACCCCTATTCACAAACTTTTCTGGTCCAGTGGATCTAGTGAGGTGCAAATTGGTGGTCGGACGCTCAGCACTCTAGCTTCCTCTGCTGGGACAGAGAGCAGCAACTTAATACGCGACGACTACTCCAACTGGAGCACTCCTCACTGCGCCTGCGCACCCCTTCCCAGCAAAAGTGCAAGGAACCGAAGCTGCTTCTAGCCCTTTAAGATCCGAGGACTGGGCATGGCTTCCGCAGAGGTCAATAAGTACAGCGGAGCATGCGCGCGTTCCCCTTGTGCAGGGCTGAGGCCTCAACCCGCTAAGGATTTCACTGCGCATGTGCTGCCTCTCGCGTTTCTCCACCACCACCACCACCACCACCACCACCACCACCACCACCACCACCACCGTCTTCCCCAATCCGAGCCACTTGCGGGTGGGAGAGCGGAGCGTTCTCCAGACGGAGGCGGAGACACGTGGGAGGGACTTAGCGAATTTAAAGGGACCGAGTTTCATTAGAGCCTCCCTGGTCCCAGAGGGTTATCAGCATGTGCAGGGATATGATGGCAGCAGGGAGTCCTTGACTAGGTATCCTAGAGCACCAGGAAATCTCTATCCTACCCACACGCACGCGCGGGATTGCCTTCTTTCATCTCCGGTCTGAATAAAAGCTGGCGCGAAGAGGGGTCAGCGAACCCGACACCAGAACTGGAGGCTTGCGGCGACTGTTTCGACCCGGAAAGTTTAGGCAGACGTCCCAGGCTCCAGACTTCCGGTTCCGGTTTTGGGGCCTTCACTATGGAAGAACCAGAGATGCAGCTGAAGGGAAAGAAAGGTGTTGCGGGACACCGGGCGGATTGGAAAAGGCAGTGCGGGGCTCAGCGGAAAAGGGAGGCCAGTGTCTCCCGGCGGGAGGTGATGTGAGCCGTGTAGTAGTGACCCGGAGCAGGGGAAGGCTCTCTTTCTGTTTTTTGTTTCTGAGACAAGGTCTCAGGATGTAGCCCTGGCTGTTTTGGAAAACTCGCTATGTAGATCAGGCTGGCCTCTAACACCTCTGTCTGTTTTTTTTTTTTTCTTCGAGACAGGGTTTCTCTGTGTAGCCCTGGCTGTCCTGGATCTCGCTTTGTAGACCAGGCTGGCCTTGAACTCACAGAGATCCGCCTGGCGCTGCCTCCGTGCTGGGATTAAAGGCGCGCACCCCATGCTCAATCTAATTTCTTTCTTTCTTTCTTTTTTTTTTTTTTTTTTTTTTTTTTTGGTCAGAACTTGTAGTTTTTTTTTTTTTTTTTTAGATTTATTTACTTATTATGTATACACAGCATGTATGACTGCAGGCCAGAAGAGGGCACCAGATCTCCTTATGGATGGTTGTGAGCCACCATGTGGTTGCTGGGAATTGAACTCAGGACTTCTGGAAGAGCAGTCAGTGCTCCCAACCTCCGAGCCATCTCTCCAGCCCTTAATTTGTTTCTTATCCTGTGAACACGTAAACGAGCAGGCTTGGTGATGAAGCACTCTAGTCCTTCCTCTAGAGGCAAGAAGCGGGATTACTGATTGAAGGCCAGTTTAATCCTCGTGAGACTTCTCAAGAGCTGAGGCAGTAGCTCAGTCGTGAGCATTCTGCCCAGAATGTTCAAGGCTCTAGGTTTGATCCCCGACATTGCAAAATAAATAAAAACTGGATAAGTAGGTTATTTTCTTTGTTTGGTGGAAGCCCTGGATGATAAAAAAGGCGGGGCTTACGTCATTTTTGCCTTGGGTGTTGGCGCCATCTGCAGCCCGGAGCTGGGACTGTTGTCAGAGCTGGTCTGGTACCGGCAGGGGGAGTGGGGACAAGTGCAGTTGGAAACAAGATTCTTGATGGATGGGGCAAGAAGGTTGGAGACTTGGCTGACTGGAAAGCCCTTGCTCCAAGTCCACCGTAGGATGATAGTTTATGTGCAGTTGACTTGTGGGAAACACATGAGTTCTGGGGAAAAGGAAGCAGGCGGGCTTTACAGGCACATTGCCGGGTTCTTTAGAGGGCAGCCTCAGTAGGCATGCTGCTATGGCAGGGCTGGTGATGGTGTTTACCTAAGAGTTGTTCCAGCACAGCAAGGGATGTGGGCTTTCACACCATTCCCATCTTGGTCAAAGTAGAGGCCACACAAGGATGTGGACTTGAGGCACCTTTGGGTTCTCTGGTCATCCTCTGGTCAGCTAGTGCATGCTTCTCTTCCCAGCACTTGGGAGGCAGAGGCAGGAGGATTGCTCTGAGTTTGAGGACAGCCTGGTCTACACAGTGAGTTGCAGGGAATCCAGAGCTACTGGATTCTTGTATGATGTTCCATACTGGTCTCTACTATGATGTTATAAAAGAGGCCAAGGGGTCTCAGTGGCAATAGTACTGTTCACCAGTGTCCCCTGAAAGTGGGTTTGCAGTGGGAAAAGCCTGTAAGTTCAGTGTGGATGACAGGTGCAGGAGCACCCTGGCAGCTCCTCTCCGCTGATTGGGCTCGAAGATTGAACAACCAGGAGTCTAATGTGGGCTTGGGCTCAACTGGCAGAGTGCTTGCCTGGCATGCATGAAACTCTGGGTTACATGTCCAGCACCACATAAACTAAGTGTGGCGTCACACATCTGCATTCTCAGCACTCAGGAGGTGGAGGCAGGAGGATTGGGAGTTCAAAGTCATCCTTGGTTACAGAAAGCTAACGTCTGCTCTGGGCTACATGAGACCCTAGCTTTAAAAAAAAAAGTGCTAGAGAGATGTCTCAGTAGTGGTCTTACAAATGTCTGGGGTTTGGTTCCCAGCATTCACAGTGTGCAGCTCACAACCACCACCTCTTCTGGCCTCCATGGCACTGCACTTATGTGTGTAGACACTCACATAGATACACACATACACATAATTCAAAATAGAATAAAGACAGGGTCTAACACTTGTCTCCTATTCCCATCGTGTCTCTCAGTCACAGACAAGTTCACTGAGAGTGTCTATGTCCTGGCCAACGAGCCGTCAGTGGCCCTGTACCGGCTACAGGAACATGTGCGCCGCTCACTGCCGGAGCTGGCCCAGCACAAGGTGAGTTCTGCCAGCCCTGCCGAGGATCTCCCCCAAGTCCACTCACAGCTCCTGATCAGGAGTGGGGTGCTACATGTAGAGGGCCTGAAGTCAAAGCAGAGACTCTGGTGAGGTGGCCTGTGGCAGCTGAATCAGGTTGCACAGTGGGGACAGCCCTTGGGTGGCTTTTGGAGGAGACAGCATGGTCTGTGTTGTGACCAGCAAGGTGAGCGAAGAGCCCACGGAAGGGTGTGCCAGGCAGAAGAAATAGCCAGTGCCAAGGGCTTGAGGCCTGCCAACCACATAGCTTTAAGGGGAAGAGGACTGCAGGAGAAGTCTGTGGTCTAAGCAAGGAGTAGGAAAGCCCTAACCAAGACAGCTAAGGAATGGAGGACTCAGGTAGGGGGGTGGAGGACTCAGGTAGGGGGGTGGAGGACTCAGGTGGGGGTGGAGGACTCAGGTGGGGCTCGGGGATGGGGAACTCGGAGGGGATCTGTCATAGAACACTTGTTCCCTCCAACACTCCCCAATCCTGCAGGCTGACATGCAGAGGTGGGAGGAGCAGAGCCAAGGTGCCATATACACCGTGGAGTATGCCTGCAGGTGAGACACCCTACTGCATCTATCACAGGGCAGAGTGGCGTAGATTCCCAATCCCCATCCCCACATTGCGGCAGCCAGGACACCTCTGTTGGGTCCCTCACAGTTGTTCTTAGGGAGTTTAGGGAGTTGACTATCTGCCTCTGACGGGGCGGAGGGCTCACTGGATAAAGTGCTCGCTGCACAAGTTCCATCTGAAGTACCCTTGTGGACAGTTGATGTGCACCAGCAAGTCCTGAGGAGCTGGAGGCAGGAGCATGCCCAGAGCTCCCTTAGGCAGCTGGTCCCGCCATTGAGTTCCTAGTTTAGTGAGAGACTCTTGTCTCAAATTAGGGGCTAAGATTCTGTTGCTGGCATTCTTGCGTGAAAAATAAGGTGGAGAGCAATTGATGAGCATGCCCAGTGTTGACCTCCACACACATGCAAATACCCACAAACACATATTCACACATAAACCACACAGATAAGGTCCCTCCCAGCTGAGCAGTGGCACAGAGCCTGAGACTGGACCACAGTTAAGGGGAGTCAGGATTGCCTTCCACCCTGTGATGTGTCCTCCAGTGCAGAGAGAGCCTGGCCAGCAGGTACTGAACATGCCACCACTTCTACCTGCCATGTTGTTTTTGAGTTGGGTCTTGGTGTCTCTCCAGGCTGGCCTTGAATACCCAGGTTTAAGCAGTCCTTCTGCCTCTGCCTTCCCTGGAACTGAGGTCATTTTAGTGTGTGTGTGTGTGTGTGTGTGTAGGCCCACATGTGCCATGGTGCACACAAGTAGAGGGCAGAGGACAGTTCACAAGAATCTGTTCTCCTTCCACTGTGTGGACCCCAGGCACAGAGCTATGCTGGAATTAAAGGAGTGTCCCGCCATGCCTGGCAATTCTCTGCATTCTTGGGCCTCCTCAGTAGCAGGTCAGCCCTCCTTTTGTGTCATCGTCCCTGTGTCCTGTAGCCAGAAGGTTATTCCATTCCACCCGGCCTGCATGGTCCCCCAGCCACTTACAAAATAATCATTCAGAGGCTTAATATTAATTACCAATTGCATGGCCTAGGGCAGGCTTCTTGCTGGCTAGCTCTTACAACGTAACCCATTGCTATTCATCTATAAGTAAGCCAACCGGCACTTTCACATCTTGCTTCTCCTGGCAGTGCTGGCGTCTCTCCAGACTCCGCCTTTTTCTTTCCTGTCTCTCTTCTTGGATTTCCCACCTGCCTCTAAGCTGCCTTGCCGTAGGCCAGAGCAGCTTCTTTATTAACCAATCATAGCAACACATATTCACAGCATACAGAAAGACATCCCACAGCAGTGTCCAGCCACGCTCACCCACTCCAGCATCTCACAGCTTCTGTAACGTGCAGGTTCAGATAGCCAGTTGCTTTTGATATGCACATCCTCGATTGCCTGGGCTTTTCATGGGCTCTTACTGAGGACTTGACACCCTCATTTGCACGGTTCTGTAGGGTTTTCTGGACATGAGAGTAATAAAGCCCTTCACACAGATGACTCCAGTACTCATAGGAAGGACGTGGGGCCAGACAGAGGACTCGGTGGGTGAAGGTGCCTGCGCCAAGCCTGCCTCTTGCAGTTTGCCTTCTGACCTCACAGGGCACTGCTGCAGATGCATGCCCTCCACAAAGAAATGCTTTTTTAACAAAGATTCATTCCAGGTGGTGGTGGTGCATGCCTTTAATCCTAGCACTCAGGAGGCAGAGGCAGGAGGATCTTTGTGAGTTCAAAGCCAGCCTGGTCTACAGAGTGAGTTCCAGGAAAGGCGCAAAGCTACACAGAGAAACCCTGTCTCAAAAAACCAAAAAAAAAAAAAAAGATTCATATAACTTTGAGATTGGGTCTCACTCTACAGCCCAGGCTGCCTTCAAACTCAGGATCCTCCTGCCTCAGCCTTCCCCAGTCCTAGGAGGACAGGCATGTACAACCATGCCTGACCTATACACTTCAAATCCTAAAAGCAAAGTTACACAGCCAGCCAGCCACCTTTTAAACACTGCGTAAAGAGCAGTTCCATCCCTGGAGAGCCGCACCCACAACAGTCGCTGGGTTGAGAGGTTTCCTTTCCCTGAGCAGGATAACAGTGTCTCAGGCAGACAGACACACTGAGTGTTCACTTTACAGACATGAAATCTCTTTTAGTTGTTAGTAGTTAACGGTGTTGAAGGCTGAGCTGACTTCCACAGCTCCTCACTAAGGCTGCTGGTGTGACCAGGATAGGGACTTCCTGGCAGCCTTGATGCTGATCTCCTTCCTTTCTGTTTCAGTGCTGTGAAGAGCCTAGTGGACAGCAGTGTGTATTTCCGTAGTGTGGAAGGCCTGCTCAAACAGGCCATCAGTATCCGGGACCACATGAACACCAGTGCTCAGGGCCACAGGTAGCCTCAGCCAACTCCCCGACCCCAGCCCCTGTCACCACCCGAACCAGTGAGCTGTCCAGATGTTCTTTGTTATCTGTGGCACAAATATCCTGTAACCCAGCTGCATGTGAGGAGTCCAGCGGTGCCTGATTGACAGACTCACAGGGACAGTGACCGAGAAACACAGGTCAGAGGAAGTGTGTGGTCAAGGAGCAGCCAGCCTCCTGGCATCCCCTGAAATATGACCAGAGCAAGGCCCTGAGGCTGGCACTCTGGGCCCATAAAAAGAGCAAGAGGAGTAACTCAGTGGGAAGCTGAGGTTGGTAGGGATCTGGACTTTGCACCCTGCCCTGCTGTGGTTTCTCCAGCTGAGGCCCAGTGAGATGAAAAGCACCTGCTGTCCTTGGATTTTTTGTGTGTTGGTTATAACTCAATAAACCAGAGCCGACCTGCACCGGCCTCAGCCAGTCTTTACCTGGGGTCCCCGACTCTGGCCTGTCGCTGGAGTGACAGGAGCAGCAGTAAAAAGTGCTGCCGACCCTCTCCACTCTTGCACCTGTGTGCGCCCCATCTGCCCAGGCCTGGCCTGGCCTCTGACGTAGGTCCTGATCCCACCCTTACTCAAGAGCTCAGGTCTTGGGGGGACCAGGGTGTGACTCCAGCCTCAAGTCAGCTCAGCTGAGCTGTCCCCTGACCCGTGGCATCAGTCTCATGTACCCCAAATGTTTTGTTCCAGCCAGGAGAAACCATCCCCTCCTTCTGTGGCCTGACCCTGACCACAGAAGACGCTCAGGGCCACCGGCTTCCCCATCCAGGTCAGTGCGGAGGCTGCCCCTCTGCTGAACTAACCCGTTTGTGTCCCTGCAGGGACCCTGCCTAACTGTTGGGTTTCCTGGCTGCTCTTCTGGGATGGGGGCTGGCTTGGGGTTCCCACTCTGAATCTCTGCTGATCAGGCCTCTTGTTGCCTCATCTTCCTCTCCCTCAGGCAGAGCCCTGCCTCCTCTGCCCCCGACCACTCAGCTGCTGTGGGACCCTGAGGCTGCACCCTCCCTTCTCTGGTCTTCAGCTTTTTCTTCATGTAAACATGGCTCATCCAGCTGAGGCCGCGTGGTCCGTGACGGCTGTCCATTGTGACAGCCGTGTCCGTGCGGGAGAGAATCACCCACACCCTAGCATCTTCAGGACTATAAACTGACCAGCCCGGAGGCTGCTTCAGGCTGCACACAGCTGGGGCTTCCTCTGGCCTTTGCCTGTTGCTGTGTTGGGGTGGGGGTCTAGGGTCCCCTCACCACTTCAAGCAGAGGGGCTGATCCCTATGGGCCCCATTGGTGCTGACCATCCTCTGCTGCAGAGGCCCAGGGGTTGTGAGGAGACTGACTTGCAGCCCAAAGCCCAGAGGCAGCAGAGTGCTCCTCCTAGACAGGAGTCAGAGCGCTTATGGGGTGACAGGTCATCGAGCACGACTTGAGCAGCTCCCTTGTACAGTAAGCATTTCTCAAGCTGCTTGGGTAGTAAGAACTTCCTGGGCACCAGTCAGTGGGCATTCACTGAGTGCCTCAGCCTGCCAGGTTTCTGGGCACTCACCGGCTGTCACCACCACCACCACCACAGGAGATGGGCTGTTCTTCACTTGAGAATCCCATGGGGCATCTGGGAGGACCCAAAGCTAGAAGGGCTCCCAGGTGTGTGCACTGTGATCCTGTCAGCCCTGGTGCATCCTGCCCATACCCAGCCCACACCTGGGCACCACTTCATCATGTGTCTCCTGGTCTGTTTACCTCGTGGCATCCTGGGCTCCTCCTGATCCCAGTTTGATCTCTACAGAGTTCTTCACCTTCCTGAGATTGCCACCCCTCTGTCCCCCAAAGGCACTCTCCTCCGGTCACTTCACGGGGTCAGATACACACTGCCTGTCTAAATCCATGGCCCTCAACACAGTCTCATCTTATACAGGAGGAAAGTGGTTTAGTGGTGAGGCAACTGCTCCAGGTACTGCCCGCCTGCCCCGCCTGCCCCGCCTGCCCCGCCTGCAGGCCCCAGGATCCACACCCTGGCCTTCTGACCCTTTGCCCCCTCCCCCTGCTCCTCTCCCCTTGTCCCCCTCCCAGTCCCTGCAGAAGCAGGCTCTTGGACACCACACTGAGAACGCAGCAGGAACTGAACACCTAGCAAGGTGGCCAGTGTCTGGTGCCTCCTGGCTTAGCCCTAATTGCCATGAACCAGGGTCACTGTTCCAGTAGCACCTCTGGGGCAATCTTGGTACATATACATTGAATGTCCAGAAGTTGTTCTTCCATGCTGGGGTCACATGACCTATATCATGTCACATAGCTCAAGACCAGACCCTGACCCTGCCTCTGATATGTGTGGTGCAGGGCTGGGTGCTGGCTTCTCTGAGACTGAGGTGAGCACATCTCCCTGTCTGACCTCTCAGGAGACACTGGATAACTGTCTCCTACCCTGGCTTGGCCACCAGCTCCCATCTCCTGGGTCATGATGGGGCAGGGCGCATGTCTGGCCTACAACTGGGCCCTGGGTTCCATCCCCAGAAATACACACACACCAAACAAACTAACAAAAAACTCCACAAACTCCAACCAGATAAATTGCCAAAGTTGGAACAGTTGGAGCAAGAGCCCTGTGTCACAGCTCTGCCTAAGACTGCAGGTGAGCCATGCACAGCGGGGCCAGCAGACCCAGCTGTGCCAGCCAGACATGGAGGGGCTGGGGGGATGGCTCGGTCAGCTACGCACTTGCCTCACAACTGTGAGGACCTGAGTTCAGCCACCAGAACCCACATTAAAAAAGCCAGGCATGCCAGGAAGGGGTGGTGCACGCCTTTAATCCCAGCACTCAGGAGGCGGAGGCAAGTGGGTCTCTGTGAGTTCGAGGACAGCTGGGGCTACACAGAGAAACCTTGTCTCAAAAAACAAAAACAAACAAACAAAAGGCCAGGAATGTGGCCAAAGCTTGTAACCCCAACACCCACACAAGTATGCCTTCATAGATACATGCATGTAAATCGATAGTAAATGTAAAAAGTACCTCCAGGATTCAGCCACTGAAACAACTGGGTGCTCTGAACTTTAGGGGTCAGGCCTGGGCACCTAGTGCGCTTCCAGGGCTCCTTAACACCCCCAGCCCCTGGGTGCCCCCTCATCTGGCAGCTGGCACCTTTCAGAGGTTCCAGAGTAGGACTCGGGTCTCTCCCCCACCTCAGCACCTGTTGCCCAGGCCTCTCCAGCCATGGTTAATAATTTACATCTCATTTGCATCCCTCCCACCCCCAGCTGAGCATTGATCTTGGTGCACAGTCCTGCCCCACACAAACCCAGCAGAGGCTCCTGGTCCTTTGAGAGTGAACTGAGCCTCCAAGGGACCAGGGCACTCAGCAAGCCTTATATCTGTCCCCACACTGCTCCAACCAAAGCTCACAGCCTCCCCTCTCCACCTCACTCGGTAACTTGGAGACAGGCAGTGACCTTCCTGTGCCATGGGACAAGCAAGACGGAACCTAGCAGCCACCTGACTAGGAATAACCTGCAAGGGGTCTGACCTTGAGTGAAGAATAGGCTCCTCCAGACCTGTCAGGGCTGGAAGGGAACCCACGGTGGCCTGTGCTTATGACTTTTGAAACTTTTCTTTTGCATGTATTTTATTGGGGGGCACATTAGTATCATGGCACATATGTGGAGGAGGTCAGAGGACAACTTGGGGTGTCTTCCCACTATGAGGACCAAACTCAGGTCATCTGGTTTGGCAGCTAGCACCTTTTCCACTGAGCATCTCACAGTTCCTGAATTGATTTCCTTTTAGACACGGCTCTTGCTATGTAACAGGCCGGCCATGAGCTTCAGACCCTGTGCCTCAGCTCTTCCGTGCTGAGGTCACAGCCCAGCACCACCAGGCCCAGCGTCGCTAGCTTTTTAATAAACATTTCATTGTAAAGTACAAATAAAACTTACTGTGTTTTTTAGAGATTTACTTTATTTTTAGTTTTGCGTATGTGTGTGGGTATGCGGAAGTGCTGGTGTTCAGGAGGCAGGAAGAGGGTGCTGGGGTTAAAGTTGGTTGTGAGCCTCCATGGGGGTGCTGGGAACTGAAGTCAGTCCTCTGCAAGAACAGAATGTACTCTTAAGCTCTGAGCCACCCTGCGGCCCCTCTGGCTTTCCCTGTGCTCCCCGCCCCAAGCCTGCCTTTCATTTCCTGCTTTCTCTGCCCCTAGCCTCTGGGAAACCTTCTCTATCCAGGAACAGACCTGTGTGTGCCCCAGATGTGGCTCTGCCCTCCTCTTCACAGGCTGTCTTCAGGGTCTGCAGGTCTTGAAGAGACCCATGCAGACAGTCTTTGGTGCCAGCATGCTGGGCCTGGCTCCCAGGAGTCCCCGGTAGAGGACATGGAGTCTGATGTATGCACCCCAGCACTGGGTGGATGGAGTTGAGGGAGGAGGTTCTCAAACAGAGAGGATGGGAAGGACAGAGAAATGGTTCCCCCAGAACCTGTGGCTTTTGTCCCTACTTTATCCACTAGCAGAGAGGTGAAGTGACCAGCCAGTGATCACACAGCAAGCCCTGCAGAGGGGCGGGGTTTTCTAATCCCAGGATAAGTGGGCCCCCAGAAAGCTTTCAGCCCTTCCCTGCTGGGTGTGGTGACTCACGCCTGTCACCACAGCACTGCCACAGTGCAGTCAACCAGACCTGCAGAGTGGGACCCTGTCTCAAACAGCCAGGCAGACGCACATGCCTGGCATCCCGCACCGAGGCAGGAGGGTCAGAAATGTAGGGTTAGCCCTTTGTTTTGTTCCCAATACAAGGTCTCTTTATGTAGTCCTGGCTGTCCTGGAACTCGCTCTGCAGACCAGGCTGGCCTCTAACTGAGTGATCCTCCTGCCTCTGCCTCCCGAGTATTGGGACTAAAAGCATTTGTCACCATGCCAGGCTCAGGGTTGTTATTACATAAGTAATCTGAAGCCAACTTCGCCTCCTCACAGGAGAGAGAGCAAAAAATCCAAGAAGCAAAGAGCCTTCGGTTTCAGACCTCCTTGTCCCTCGCTCCATCCACTCATGTACCGCCTCACCTGATAACTGGAGGTAGTAACTTGTCTGTCCCTCCAGGGACACTGAAGGTGATGGGATTGAAGGGGTCCAGGGCAGTGGGGTGAGCCTCTGTGGGTGTGGGGCGTGGCTTTGTGTGGGCAGGTTGGGCCCTGGCCGGGCCCTGCTGCAGCTGCCGCCCTCACGTAACCAGAGCCTGCGGGTTGCATCAGAGCCAGGGGGAGGTGGCCAGGTAAACAGCGGGGCCCCGGGGGCCGAGGCTCCCCAGGCTCCTTCACCTACAGGAGCCTTGTTCTTCATCTCGGAGCCCAGGCAGAAGCCCCCAGGCTGGGCGCGGATCTCGGTGTGTCCTGGGGACACCTGTGAGTGTGGAGTGAGCAACTGGGCGAGGGCACAGCGCAAATCTTCTTTGAGTCTGAAGAGCAAGTTTGTAACTATGGGAAGTGGTTCACTGCTGTCATCCAAATGCTTAGGGGCTAGGGCAAGAGGACTGCCCTGAGCCCTGAGTGAAACACGGTCGGGGGTCTGGGAAATTGTGCTGAACCGACAGGCAGGGTTCCAGCTACATAGGTGTGGAACAAGGCAGAGGCCACCCAGTGAGCTGTGCTCCTGCCCCACACCCCAAAGTCCTTCACCCAGGGGCAAACTCCTCATGTTGGAAAACCCACTGCCGATGTCCCAGTTTCCGGGAAGCACTCCCGTGCGCCTGGTATTGCTGTCCTCCACAATTCTGGTCCGCCCTCCCACTGACCCACTGACCCACTGGCCCAGCCCCACCTCCCAAGATTTGGGGAGTGGGGAGTACAAAGACTACTCCCGCCGTCCTGGGCTTTCACTCCACAGCCAGCCTTGTCCCTGACCTCTGATCCTGTAATTCTTTTCCCTTTGACGCTCCCCTCAAGCACTTCTGGCCTGGGTCTTCTTCTGGCCATGGCCCTATGCAGGATGGTGCTGGGACTCCAGGCTGAGGGTGGATGGGAGCCCCACACAATGACCTTCCCTCTGTGGTGGAAGACCAGAAGAGGACAGGGTAAAGTCACAAGGTCAGCAGGGTCCAGTAGAAGTCCAGGACACTGGCCGGAGGCACAGCTGGGGGGCTACATAGGTGATCCCAGGAGGCCGAGAGCCAGCATTAAAGGCTGGCTTGGTCCCATTTGCCAGCAGAATCAGGGCTCTAAGGAATTATTTTATTTATTTATTGGACAGTCTCAATCAGTAGCCTAGGTTGCCCTGGAACTTGAAGCAATCCCGCCTCTGCCTTGTTAATGCTAAGGTTACATTGGCGTTGTTTGTCCTTTCAGTGCTGGGGATGGAAGATGACTTGCTGCAGGCCAGGCAAGCACTCCATCACATCCTCACACCTCTTATTTACTCATGTATTCATTTTCTGCCACGGTGTTACCAAGTCGTCTGGACTGGCCTTAGACTCACCATCCTCCTGTCTCAGCCTCTTGAGTACCCGGGCCCAATTTATTTATTTCTTTATTTGGAGGCAGAGTCTCAGAATTGCCCAGGATGCCCTTGATCCAGAAACTTAGCATACTCCATCTGGAGGAGCTGGGAGGACAGACTGTGTCGTCAAAACAGGCAGCAGTGTGTGGTCTGGGCTAACAGTGGCAAAGTTCTGAACAAGGTCCAAGTTAAGGCCAGGGTCACTGTGAGGTGACCTCACGGAGAAACCCAGTTGTTTACATGCATCCTTGCCCTGTATTGTTTTTTAAATCATCTTTATTTATATAGATATGTGGGCCACAGGGTGGGGATGTCAGATTCCACCATTCAAGTACCAGGGATTGAACTCTGTTCATCATAGCGGTTTCAACTGGTCACCCGACCCTGTTTTCTTTTTCCTTTTTTTCCCTTTCTTTTGTATAATTTATTTATTTTTATTTTATGTTTATTGGTGTTTTGCCTGCATGTATGTCTATGTGAGGGTGTCAGATCTTGGAGTTAGAGACAGTTGTTAGCTGCCGTGTAGGAGCTGGGAATTGAACCCTGGTCCTCTGAAAGAGCAATCAGTTCTCTTAACCACTGAGCCATCTCTCCCACCCCCTCTTTCTTTTGTTTTTTGTTGGTGGTGGTATTTTGTTTTGTTTTGTTTTCCAGATATGGTTTCTTTGTATAGCCCTGGCTGTCCTGGAACTCGCTTTGTAGACCAGACTGGCCTCGAACTCACAGACATGCGCCGCCGCCAAGCCCTGCTTCTCTAGTCTGAGTTATTTCGGATCAGCCAGGAGTCTCCCAAGCATCCGCCCCTATGCAAATGAGTCCCACCTCCATCCAATCACCTCTCGGGGGCGGGGCTGCGCGGGAAGGCGGCTGCGGCCCGGCGGGAGCGGAGCTCAGTGCTGCAGCTTCAGTAGACGCGTGGACTAGCAGGCAGGTGCGGCCGGCGGGGACCTACTCCCGGGACTGCAGAGGTGTGCGCGGCTCCGGGCACGGTGGGTGCAGAGGGCAGTGTGTGTGTGCGGTGTCTGAGGGATAGGGGGCCTGGAGTGTTTGCTGAGTAGGGTCTCGGTTTAGCCCAAGCTAGTCTGGAAGTTACTATAATAGCCCAGGTCAGCCTCAAATTCACAGCAGTCTTCCTACCTCAGTCTCCAGAGTGTTGTGATCACAAGCCTGTGACCACACTCAACTGTTGGAGGCTTCTTCCCCTTGAGAGGAGGGAGTTTGAGACAGGGTCTTTGTCCAGGTTAGTCTGGAATTCACTATGTAGCTCGGGCCAGCCTCAAACCCTCCTTCCCTAGCCGCACAGTGCTGGGATCTCAAGTGTGACCACACTCCATGGTTTGAGGGTTCTTTTGGTAGTTTGAGAAAGGGTCTGTCTGTAGCCCAGGTTGGCCTAGAAGTCTGTGTAGCCGTGTTTGGTGGTGCATGCCTTTAATCCCAGTAAGGCAGAGCCAGGCAGATCTTTCCAGGCCAGCCTGGTCTATATAATGAGCCCTAAGCCAGACAAAGCTATATAGTGAGACTTTGGCAAAGAAAGACACCTCTGTAGCTCAGGCTAACCTGGACCTCACAGCAATCTATTTTTGGTCTCTCAAGTGTCACAATCACAGATGTGTACCCATTGATGGCTGTGTTTGTGAATTTCTTTTTTTTTGGGTAGAGGGGGTTTGAAAGGTTGAGATAGGGTTTCTGTATGTAGCCCAGGCTAGCCTTGAGCATTCGTCAATCCTACCTCAGTTTCCAAAATGTGAGACCACAGATGTGTCCCTGCTTGAGGCACTGTTTGAAGTTTTGGTGAGGGTTGGTTCTGTGATGAAGTTACGTCTCTGAACTGAGATACCCCTCTTGGGGTGCACACCCCTCTTGGGGCGCACACCCCTCTTGGGGTGCACACCACTTGGCAGCCATTGCCCGTTCTCCTTCGGGCATGAGTCTTCCTTAGAAACTGCATCGGGAACAATTCACAGACACCGAGCCAGTGCCCCTTTCATGGTCCTGACCCGCTCCCTGCCTCCAGGACCCTGCCCAGCCCCAGCCCTAGATGCAGACAGAGTTCAGACACAGTCTAGGCCTCCACCTGCTTGCCTTGGAGTCCTTACTGGGAAAGTTGAGGACTATGGCCTTGTGGGACTGGGGACAGGAATTCTGACTGTTGTGAACAAACCCAGGTTCAAAAGAGCCCTTGGTGGACAGGGGTTGGGGAGAATGCTTAACTAGAATTCACCAGTGAGGATCTGGGGAGATCGCCTGTGAACGTGTGCAAGTTCCATCCCGGGCACTGGAGGTGGGGGGGGGGGTCTGCTTCAGTTTAGAAGGATCAGTGTTCTCAGTTTGCTTGCTAAGTTTGCAGAGGCCCCTGAAAAGGTGGGCTTGCTCCCTCCAGGCTGGGTCTGTCACCCACTCTGTAGCTAAAGAGAGAACAAAACTTGTCCTGAGCCAGGCGGTGGTGGCGCACGCCTTTAATCCCAGCACTCAGGAGGC